TGGACACACACACACACACACACACACACACACACACACACACACACACACACACACACACACACACACACACACAGACCTGGAACTTCAAGAACAAGAGGTCATAGATTTAAACTAGCTAAACACAGATGCCGAAGAAATATAAGAAAATTCACCTTCGCAAATAGAGTGGTAGACGGTTGGAACAAGTTAAGTGAGAAGGTGGTGGAGGCCAAGACCGTCAGTAGTTTCAAAGCGTTATATGACAAAGAGTGCTGGGAAGACGGGACACCACGAGCGTAGCTCTCATCCTGTAACTACACTTAGGTAATTACACTTAGGTAATTACACACACACCACTGACCATCCACCTAATCCTACTTTCTGACTCACACCACCCACCTACCACCCACTTTAGAGAGTTCCCACCGACCTACCACTACTGAGGCACTACTGTGTACTGGAAGAGAGGGCCAGACTAGCTCCTAGAGACGGCCGGAGTATATTACAACACACCAATGCCAACTTAATTAGCTGCGTCTTATTTAAGCTTTCAAATGACTGGTCTACTGGGAGGGAGGGTGGGAGTGAATGTGTGTGTGTATTCACCTAGTTGTATTCACCTAGTTATGCTTGCGGGGGTTGAGCTCTTGCTCTTTCGGGACGCCTCTCAACTGTCATTCAATCAACTATTACTAACTACTAACATTTTTTTAACACACACCCCAGGAAGCAGCCCGTAACAGGTATCTTAACTCCCAGGTACCTATTTACTGCTAGGTAACAGGGACATCAGGGTGAAAGAAACTCTGCCCATTTTTGTTTCTCGTCGGCGCTGGGAATCGAACCCTGGCCCACAGGATTACGTGTCCAGCGTGCGTGTGTGTGTGTGTGTGTGTGTGTGTGTGTGTGTGTGTGTGTGTGTGTGTGTGTGTGTGTGTGTGTGTACTCACCTAGTTGTGCTTGCAGAGGTTGAGCTCTGACTCGTTGGCCAAACTGTGAGTGAGCTTGTGCGTGCGTGCGCGCACATGTTCACGTGAGTCATGTCAGTGCGGTTACTCACAGGGTGAGTGACCGTTCCCAATAAACTCGCCTCGGGGCAAAAATGGTTAATTAAATTAAGTACAGTACTAAGGCAGAAATTTACCCGTTAATCAGAATTAAATCAAAATTTAAGTTTAATTTTGAAAATTTAGCAAAAACTCGTCCATTCACTATAATCTCTAAGCTTAGCGTCGTTGATTAAATATATTATTGATTTGAAAATGTCAAAACTATTTTATAACATATATTATTTCTAATTTGAAATGTAGCCTAATTTTTTTATAAGGCTCCGAAATGTGTGATATATCTGAATATTTACCTTATGAGTTATAAATATGCGATATATATATATATAATATATATATATATATATATATATATATATATATATATATATATATATATATATATATATATATATATATATATATAATATATATATATATGGGACCCCTGATAAAGTAGGAAGGGTCGTAGGGACCCCTGATAAAGTGGGAGCACGCCCATTGCAAAATCTCGCGTGTCATCAGACAGAAATAATCCTTTTGAACCATCTTTAGTACTTATTTTTAATATGAATGTAACACTCATTATATATACTCTGTTTATGTTGTTTTTTACATATGTATTGTCAAGGGGGTGAGAGAGGAGCCGTAGAGAGGGCAGTGGTTGCCTCTGGCAGTTGGACGTAACAGCATTACCAGACATCCTCAATGTTGCCAAATGTTGCCACATTACTCCCTTGTGTCTTGTTTCTGTATCTGTCGGATCTCGAGTTTATATACACCGATATATATAATTTTTTGTATTTGTAGCGAGATTAAACACATTGGCTTTAATGGCTTCGGCTTTGGAAACTATTTAGCGGATGATGTATGTTTATTTGTTATTTTTTTGGCGGGATTGATGGTGGGTGGAAAAGGGTATAGAGAGGATGATGATTTTTGTTTCGATAATGGCGGTTATGCTCTGCCGGACTTGGCAACCATGCCCACCATGGTTTCAGGTTCCTTTTCGGGTACTCTGGGATGGTTGGGATTGGTCCACAGCCTCGCCTCCTGATTGCTTGATTGTCTGGGGAAGTGCGTAAATTCTTTCTGAGTGCTTTAGCAAAGTTCGTGTGACTTGGTACCTTTTCATCTTTAGGGAAAGTTAAGACTAAAAGTACGGCGAAGTAGCGAGCGCTTTTTTGGTGGAAATAATCATGATGAAGTTCTGTTCTACAGGAAATAAATATTAACCGCTACTTTTTCGGTTCGGTTATTTTGTTGGTCTGTTATTTTGTTCTATCCCGTGTATTGTTGGTCTGGAAGAGAGGGTGGGAGGGGTATTATCCTTCCATAATGTCAGGGAGGGTGTGGGATGCATCTGTTATGCACCCCATACCCATCCTGTGAGCGGTAGTGGAAAAGGTTAAAGATGCACATAATGGGCTCCAGAAATTTATTCCACAATTCATTTACCTAAGCAATTCACCGCTAATTACATAGTTTAATGTATATATCAAACAGCTTTATTTTGTATAGCATAATGGTAAAAAAAGCTGGTAAAAATGCAATGAACTGTGACTTACAACCAAGTCTCTCAAACAATACACCGTATGTGGACGCTATGATCCCTAACGAACAAAATAAGGGGAATTATCAGAAGTGAAATTGAAATTGAAATAAGTTTATTGAGGTAAAATACACACAAAGGGACGAGGTAGCTCAAGCTATTCTCACCCCGTTCAGTACAACGTGTTAATACATACATAGACACACATCACAAACAATAAACATATTACCAAACCTTCTTATCAGAAGTATCAGTTCACAAAGATACACGTTTTCTATGTGTGGGTCAGTGTGGGTTCACGCGTTTTAGTAGCCTATATTTTGTCTGTTGTGGCAACTCAAGAGGATGGGCTGGATGCTCGCCTGGTTTGCAAGTTGATATTGTAATTATCTTTGTTAGGAGTCACTTGGCCTTGTATCCTTCTCTGTCCAAACATTGGACTTTCTCTTCTTCACTCCGTTAATTTAAACGCAACCCGCATATATCAACATAAACACTATATTATTACTTATATAATATAGTCTATGTGGCTTTGATGAGTTGGTATCTCCGAAATCTAAATCAGTTCGATAATGGTTTATCATTGGACATGAAGCCTGTTAGTCTTATGGAGGGCCCCATTACCCCCTAGGAAGGGGGGGGGGGGGCTGAGGCCGAGGACTGACCTGGGGTTAGATTCACGAAGCAGCTACGCAAGTACTTACGAACGTGTACATCTTTCCACAATCTTTGATGGCTTTGGTTACATTTATTAAACAGTTTACAAGCATGAAAACTTGCCAATCAACTGTTGTTATTGTTATAAACAGCCTCCTGGTGCTTCGGAGCTCATTAACTGTTTAATAATTGTAAACAAAGCCGCCAAAGATTGAGAAAAGATGTACAGGTTCGTAAGTGCTTGCGTAACTTCTTCGTGAATCTAGCCCCAGGATACAATCCTCAGCGGTGGTCTAGCTCCCAGGTCAGGTCACATCATTCAGCCCGTCCTCAGAAGTTTGTTTCCCTCTCCCTTAGTGAGTTTGTTAATTAACTTGGTGCATAAAGTTCATGTTACTGTTTAGGAAATGCATTTATGAACTGGGATTTGTGAGTCTAACGAGTGTCCATCCTACACGTTTCAACCATGGGTTGCATCATCTTGGGTATGGAATACTTCTTAGGTTACGAGCTGTGTACGGAGAACTAAGTTGGTATTTAGTAAATACCAACTTAAGCTGCCTTGATCGAGGCACGCGGAACAATCCCTAAATTGACATAAAAGTGTCTTGGCTGATGCTAATTCTCTTGTGTATTATAACACTAAAATGTTTTACCAAACATTGTCAAGTCATATAAACACAGCTGGGCTCCATTTTTCTCATCTTATATTCTTATAATTCGCTTCTTATCTTAATGCAATCACCAGCTGGGAAAACTCCTGTTTTCTTTTCAAAGATTTTATCTCGCAATGGTCGTATAATTAATTTATTTTTTAACTATTTCTCTTGAGAGCGTGCCAACTTCCCCAGTGTTAATTCAGATATATGAATGAACGAGTCAAATAAAACAGGGTTTGTTTATTTACAAGTTTTCCTCTTCAAAAAATCCAAAGATAATGAAGCTGGCATTTGACCTTGGTGCTACTTGTAATCTGATTCAGTTGAGATGTTCTTGCTTGTGTTTCGCCTTGTGTATCCTGTAAGAGGTCTCAAACATGTCATCCTGAGAGACTCCCTTGCTAGTGTAGATGGGTCACTAGTAAGATTATGAGGAGTTTTAATTATGAGGTTAATTATGAGGAGAACGTGACAAGCTTGCGTGACTATAATAGCACTTGGAACGGATGACAGAGTGAAGGGATGATGTCCAACCACTTGGACCATTGGGAATCGAACCAGTTTCCAACCAACGTTGTACCAACCATTTCAGATGGATGGGTTGACTGTCACGGAGTGCGTTTGATTTCAGTGAAAGATGGAAAGCCTTCTTCTTGAGGTTATCTTGAGATGATTTCAGGGCTTTAGTGTCCCCGCGGCCCGGTCCTCGACCAGGCCTCCACCCCCAGGAAGCAGCCCGTGACAGCTGACTAACACCCAGGTACCTATTTACTGCTAGGTAACAGGGGCATTCAGGGTGAAAGAAACTTTTGCCCATTTGTTTCTGCCTCGTGCGGGAATCGAACCCGCGCCACAGAATTACGAGTCCGGGGGAGTCCGGGCCTTTGTCAGGAGCCATACGCAGTTATCCTCAGCAGGAACTTCAGCAGCTAAATATAGTCGTCATATATGCTTAGGCTACTGCTTTTGAAGTAAACAAAAGCTAGATTTCATATTAATACATAATTTTTTATGAAAATATTAGCCTTTTTGAACCTACACGTTTCATTCAATATAATGTTGTCAGTTCTTTGTAACCTGAATATGTATTGTTTTCGTCCACAGAACCAACAGGAGAGATGCCAGGAAAAGGGAAGCGGCCATCTTGAGTCCCGCCACTATAGTCAAGATGGTAAGTAAAATTGCCTTTTAATACTATGTGCGCGTACTCACTACACCCCTGTGTGCAGTCCTCTGCTCTTTCGAGAAGTTTCGCTTTCAGCTAGTGTCGAGTCTTGTTTCTGCTAGACTTCTAGTTCTTATAAACAGAGTGAGAATAGCTTGAGCTACCTCATCCCTTTGTGTGTATTTATACCTCAAAGTTGTTTAAATTTCAATTCAGTTTATAGTTGTTATTGCCTTCCTATCAGTTTTAACGCTTTGAGTGTTAATGCAGTTCTGTCGTTGCCTTGTTTCTAGTCACCTCTGAAGGTTATCTCACGTGCCAAAACTTACAGGTTACGGTACTCTTGCTCCTCAGTTTTGTACATGTATAATTTGTAGACTCGGCAGGTATAAAAAGTATTACGGGAACAAAAGTTGACTTAAAGAAAAAAATTATTTCTGGCAAGAAGTGCCGGACAAACAGGGTTGTTGTGGATATGTGGACCTGTGGGCCGCTCCAAGCAACAGCCTGTTAGACCAAGCTGTCGCAAGACGAGCCTGGCTTGAGTAGAGCTCTCAGAACCCACTCCAGTTCTAAAACGCCTGTCATTCAAAAAAGATAGTAATTATAGCTACCATGAATAGTAACTCAAAATATGAACAGTTGCAGCCAACAAAAACGTCCGCCATGTACTCTTAATTTTGTGGAAGCCAGAGATAAAGGGCAACAACTAAGTCTTAACTTTCCCTAGGCTTAGTGTAGTACACATGTGCACTAAATTAGGCCTACACGATTGTTTATTTAGGTCTTGGACAGGTTAGGTTCACGATTTAATCTTTTACTTTTTGTTATACCCTTTAGAATTTCAATAGTAAAAAATAGTGAACTTTTTATTTTGGTTCAGTTCATATTTTGCACATTTCATCTACAGTAGCTATAGGTTCTAATCATTTTTGGAGCGTGGGTTGCTTCAAAACAATAGATTTCTAAAATGAATAAAAAATCCACGAACGACGAGAAGCACCTGCAGAGAGGCACTGAAACTCGACACCTGTTAATCCAACCAGCACGGGAATATTTACTTTTATTTACTTTTATTTACTTTTATTTACTTTTGTTTATTGTTGTGTTATTGTATACAGCAGCGTCGACCTTCCTGGCCGCCTCATTTTGCGGCCTTGATCTTAAATGATGTTACATTCGTACTATTCGTTTTAATGTATCTTTAATTCTAATGGCCCAAGTTCGATTCCCGGCCGAGGGGGGAAACAAATGGGCAGTTTCTTTCACTGTGATGCGCATGTTCACCTGGCAGTAAATAGATAGCTGGGAGTTAGACAGCTGCCACGGGCTGCAGCTTGGGGATGTGTGTGTGAAATATGTAGTATATATGACAGGATAAATAGATCGGGAGTCAGTACATTAAACAACTGACATTAGAAAGGCGGGGTCCAAGAGCTAACTGCTCGATCCTGCAGACACACTACTAAAATAACGCGCCCCCCCCCCACACACACACAGACACGGGACCGGGTGGCACCGGTGGCTGAGTAGACAGCACGCTGGATACGTAATCCTGTGGACTGGGTTTGATTCCCAGCGCCGACGAGAAACGAAATCGTCAGCTTCTTTCACCCTAATGCCCCTGTTACCTAGCAGTAAATAGGTACCTGGGAGTTAGACAGCTGTAACGGGCTGCTTTCTGGGGGGGGGGGATAGTAACGGTTGATTGATTGATAGTTGAGGGGCGAGCCGAAAGAGTAGAGCTCAACCTCCACAAGCACAACTAGGTGAATTGGCTGAGAGGATAGCGCGCGGGACTCATAATCCTGTGGGCCCGGGTTTGATTTCCGGCGCCGGCAGAGACAAATGGGGCAGAGTTTCTTTTACCCTGATGTTCCTGTTACCTATCAGTAAATAGGTACCTGGGAGTTAGACAGCTGTTACGGGCTGCTTCCTGGGGTGTGTGGATACACACAAGAACATCTACGTGAGAACGTACAAACAACGCCAAACACACGAGGCAACACATGTTATGGTTATAAGAGCCGGGTGGAGCGTCAGCTGAGAGCAGCATGGAGTAATATGAACTTAGCCTGCAGGTGTTAGTGGTAGACCGCGCGCTTAATATACAAGCCTTACATGCCGGATGTCACACAAAGTGGCCGGCAGAACTGCTCTAAGGTGCATATAATGATTGATAATAATACTTATGTACACCGAAAAGCGGATATGCCCATCTGGACAAATGGTTAAATATATATTTAGTGTTTGTTGACAAGACCACATACTAGAAGGTGAAGGGACGACGACGTTTCGGTCCGTCCTGGACCATTCTCAAGTCAATCGACTTGAGAATGGTCCAGGACGGACCGAAACGTCGTCGTCCCTTCACGTTCTAGTGTGTGGTCTGGTCAACATACTTTAGCCACGTTATTGTGACTCATCGCCTGCATACTTAAGTGCTTGCCGTTGTTGGGAACAGGAATTCTTAGGTTTATCGAGGTCCCCTCAGACCTTAAGACCTAGATAAACTACTGACCCTCCCCAGGATGCAACCCACAACAATTGCATAACTTCCCGGTACCGATTTAAGCCTAGGTGAACAGAGGAAGCGGTTGAATGTATTTACTCTTACTCGCGTAGGTCCATAATTTATCCCTTTATGGTATGCCTACTGCTATCATACTGATGGGATGATAGCGATACAATCAAAATGTTACTGGTAGTTGGTTACATTGTGTGGTCTGAAGCACAAATACACATTTTTTTGTATATAAATAATTCACAGTAATGTTAGCCTCAAGTCATTTGCTAGGCTACGCCAACCTGTTTGAACAATTCTCAGCTGATTTTTCCACGAATTTGGTTTACATTAATGTAGCACTTTTTTCAACAATTGTATTGAAGTGTTGCTTCATATACAAAAATATTCTAACGCGCCCCAAGAGAATTGTTTATAAATATTTCAAGGATGCCAGGATGTGTTCCCTTGCTTGACCACAGGGTATAGTTGAAGTTATATACATATATATACACACACACACATATATATAATGTGTGTGTGTGTGTGTTATATCATTCATCATATTATGCTGATACGATGAATGTTTGGAAGGTAAGATTATGACCAGTTTTACGAGTTTCTTTTGGTTTGATCAAACTGTAATTAGCACTAATATGCAGTGCCAGTGTGGTCTCACGTTGGTTGTCTCAGTAGGTGGAGTTTGGTGATGCCTGGTAATAAATTACATATATTGTAATATATAATTATTTATATTATATATTAAACAATATTTATATATTGTAATTTGTGCTATATCCATACTTCTCACGGTCCTTTGTTGATGCTCCATCAATGTATTACTCTTGTTCAGTCCTGAATACTGTTGATGCAATATTCATATACTTTTTTCTTTTCAGTCCTTCGACCTGGAGAAGGACTCTGTAGATGCGGTGGTGGAGGCCGGGGAGCTGCGCAAGCTCCTCGAGTGGGAGTTGAGTCTTGACTCTGGGGACCTTCGATCTCATGCCTGGTATCATGGCACAATTCCCAGGGCCCGTGCTGAGGAAGTGGTCCTCAAGGATGGATCTTTCCTCATCAGGCAAGTACATTCAATGTCTGTTGACCAGACCACACACTCGAAGGTGAAAGGAAGACGACGTTTCGGTCCGTCCTGGACTATTCTCAAATCGATTGTGATTGTTACAATCGACTTGAGAATGGTCCAGGACGGACCGAAACGTCGTCGTCCCTTCACCTTCTAGTGTGTGGTCTGGTAATCATACTTTAGCCACGTTATTGTGACTCATCGCCTGCACATTCAATCTCTCTTTGAAGGCTTTAAGGTTTGGCTTTTTTTAGTCTCCAAGAGTCTCTGGATTGTGGATTTATTGGAGAGAGATTTGGTATACGTATAGGAAAAATGGGAAACAACATTTCTGACCATCCTGAAAGTCGGGAAATTCAATCAATGGAAATCTCCTGATTTATCAGATGCATAGTTAGGACCAGATGGATAAATTCATTTATAGTTTTATCAAAAGATACTTTATCTTTACTAAATGTGAGTTTTTCCTTTCAGGGATTGCATCTCCCAGCCAGGAGACTTTGTACTGACGTGCCGCTGGTCTGGCCAAACACTCCACTTCGTTATTCAAAAGGTAATCTTGCATACTACTACCCAGCTTCATTAATAATTGTTTCACAAACAACTCATTATCACATTAAGGTATTTGATAGGGTGCTAAGAAGACAACTTACAAGTTTTCCTGCAGTTTTCAGAATATCATACAATATCACACAGGAGTCAAATTTCCGACATTTCAGATATTTTGAAAACTGCAGGGGGATTTGGGCAAAATATGACCTATTGCCGTTTTCAGTAATTGGCATATTTTCGGCATAAAAAGTCGTAATTTGGAAATGAAAATACTGTAGGTGCAGAGAGTCAGAATTAGGCTCAAAAAACACGCTCAGGAGTCAAATTTCCGACATTTCAGATATTTTGAAAACTGCAGGGGGGCTTGGGCAAAATATGACCCATCGGCGTTTTCAGTAATTAGCATATTTTCGGTATAAAAAGTCGTAATTTCAAAATGAAAATAGGTGCAGAGATTCAGAATTCGGCTCAAAAATCTCGCTTAGGGGTCAAATTTCCGATATTTCAGATATTTTGAAAACTGCAGGGTGGTTTGGGCAAAATATGACTTATTGCCGTTTTCAGTAATTGGCATATTTTCGGCATAAAAAGTCGTAATTTGGAAATGAAAATAGGTGCAGAGAGTCAGAATTCGGCTCAAAAAACACGAAAGGTATGGTAGGACATATGTAATAAACCTAAAGAAAGGTAGGTGTGCCACAAGTGCAATTAGAGGGCACTGACCATTACAAATCGACTTTTCAACTTCCATCAGCAAATGTAAGAAATATTGCCCGAACTAATGTTGAAGCATTCAAGAGGTCGAGAAGTTGCTGTTGCAAATATCAAATCAACCAGGTTGTGATGGCTGTGTGGATCTATCTTTAGGATGCAAGCAAAAATAGCTTCACTGACCAATAAAGCACCAGTGAATCCCACTTTGTGGAGGTTCTGGGGATCAACATTCCCGCAGACTGGTCTCTGATCAGGCCTCCTGGTTCGTCGTCTGGTCAACTAGGCTGTTGGATGTGCTGCTCGCAGCCTGACTTATGAATCACAGCCTGGTTGATAAGGTATCATGATCAAGCTGGCCCCAGATCAAAGGATAACAAATATTCTTGAATTTGACAAGAGGAAAACCCGCAGGGTGTAAGTGAAAAAGAAGCAATTTGTTCTAGCAAAGTTTAGAATAAAATGAAAGCGAGTCATTGAAGGAATGTGGCTGGTTCAGTGGAAGCTTAGATTGTGATTAACAAGAAAGGAAGATAAGAAGCAAGTAGGTAGCATTGAAACCACATTAAATGGAAAAAAGAATAAGGAATAAATCAATCTACCAAGATGGTTTGGCCATGTGTTCTAATGCATGTATAATAAGAGTTACAAACAGAATGTATTCACCAAATTGAGGGTAGAAGTTGGAGAAGAAGACTAAAGAGAAGGTGGACAGCCATAGTGAGCTAATGGGTAAAAAAGTGAGGGTTGAGAACATAAGAATACAATAATATAGAAAGCTGCATATGACCTGTTGATGCATATAAGGCAGCTTTTTTTTTATACCCAGCCAAACTCCATGTCTATCTTTGTCTAACCTTCAATTGAAACAATTCGGCAATCCTACATCAATTTTGTTACCCAATAATTTGTTCCATAAACCAAACAATTCTATCCCCAAACCAATATTTACCCAGGTCTTTCCCTCAATCTAAGCTTATCCAATTGTATACATTGTTTCATATTGATATATTTAAAAAAATGCATTAAAAGTGGTAAGGAAGAAGACTACACGATTTTTTTTTTATTCAAGTCATAAGAAGCAAAATACTGTACTAACACCTAGTCTTATGGAGTAGTGGGGTGCTGCCATAGGTGAGTTATTGGTGTGGTGGCAGGGGTTCTGTAATGCTGTTTAGTGTGGTAAATACTGTATGGTGAAGTGATTATTGTAATTTTGATATGCCTTTAAACATTTCTTCCTATAATAAACTGTTATCTTTGAGACTGATGCAATGAAAGTAGAATATGGGGGTATAAATGATGTGATATGATGTTGTACTGACATGTATATTCTTCTTTAGACAGTAGTGCAACCTAACACAGTTTATGAAAGGATACAATACCAGTTAGAAGATGATGCATATGACTCTATCCCTGACTTGGTAAGGGCATATGTTGGTGGCAAGAAGCCCATCACAGTTTCATCTGGTGCTCGGATCTCAACTCCAGTAAATCGCACGGCACCATTGAGCTTTTACGCTTCCAAGTATGCCGCTCAAACTGCCCATACATTTCAACATGGCACTCTGAGTAGACCAATCAACAGGTCATCTGAAACTATTCCTGGGTAAGACATTATGTAATATTAATGTTAAGATTCACATTCTCATTAGCGATATCCTTGGTAAATTGTGTGATGTGCGAGTTACTGTAATTTCATATTTTTCGAGTTGTTAATGCTCAGTAATCTTTAGTCTGTTTAGCAGATTAATTGTAAAATTTAGCCATTAATATATCTGTATACAGTCCAATTTCTAGATTTATTGTCTAAAAAAAAATACTGTATATACAAAATTATTGATTTAAAGGAAATAATAAATTATGCATAGAAATTCTGAAATAAAAACTTATGAAACACTGTTCTTAATTAGGTTTAAATTCTTAGGGGTGGCATCATTGGTGGAACTATGCTGCGACACCAACACTCTTACAGCAGCCCTGTAGGCGTGGGCTGCACCATAGTGAGGAGCCCTGCTCACTCTCCACCCAGGATGAGAAGAGATACAGCACCTTCACTACCCATTAAAACACGGAGCAGTAGTACCTCCAGACCCCCTGATGAGCCACCTGAAGGAGGTATGTATTGGGAATAAATCTGTGAAGAATTTTTTTATGTAGATAATTCATACAGTTATGCTGCTGCATATCTGATACATATGGTAATTTATTCTTAACCCAATTTATATTAACATTAATTATGCAAGGGGAGCCTTTGGCAATTTATATACAGTATTGAAATTTTGCTTCTTTTTTCAGTCCCTAGCAGGATTGATGAGAAGAGCTGCAGCAGTGATGGAGTAATTGGTTCTCATCCATCTGTAGAGCAAAATAAATTTACCTCTCAATCATTGCCACGGAAAATGGTATCCAAATCTTTTACAATTGCCTCTGAACACCTTTCCAGTGTGTCTGCTGAATCAGGTCTTGGAAGCCATGAAGACAGCAAGCCATTAGAACGATTATCAGAGGAGGAGCCACCACCCAAACCTTCACGTGTTCCATCTATTAAAATTAAGCCCAAGAAGCCACAAACAACAACTATTAATGAACGATTATATGCTGAAATTGACGAGCTTGATGAAGATGAAATAAAGGACTCTAAGACACAGCCATCAGCAGATGATGTCAAGACTCCTACAGGGAGTAGTGAAATTGACAACAATTTTAACAGTGAAGGTGTTACAGTGTGTACAGATACAACGTCGACTCCTCGACACTCTCGCTTGTCAGAGATGTATCAGCCGTCAGGTTCAGACTCTGGTAATGGTTCTGGTGACTCGGTACAAACATCTGCCAGCGATGCCAGGAAGTAAGTTCAACAAATACAGTACAGTAATATCAATCATTTTAAAAAATTGTAGAAAAAAATTAAATAGTTTACCAGACCAAGTTATAGTCTATATATACAGGTTTATGTAAGGTTTTATTAACTCTTTGGAATATAGTGTATATACAATAGGATCATAAATACTGTATGCTTAGTAAAGCACCTAATTATGCACATAGTGTGTGATGTTCTATGAACTTCGGAAAGTTTTAATAGGATAATACAGCCATGGTTCAATTATTCTATGGGTGAAAGTACATCACTTATTGACTGTCTTATACTGTGATTTGAAGATACTGTCCCTTGTAAGTTACACTGGACCTTTGAAAGTGATCTGGATTAACTTCTTCCCATTTGTTCAGTATTTTACTGGACTCTTGAGATCAGCCGTGTCATGTCCGATTTGTAATGTTGTTAGGCCTCGAGCCCTCTACCTTTCCTGGCATGAGAGTTGACGTATATCTAGGATGATTTTTTTATTGCGATGCACTGAGCTTTTTCCAAAGCAGTTAATATGTCCATTGAAGATGAGGTCCCCATGTTTAGAAACAGTAGCCACAATGAAGGTGCACCAGTATAGCCGATTAACCACATTCTTTTCCTTGAAGTTTGTTTTATTTTTTTAAGATCCGGTTTGCTTTTTTTACTGCAGCTTCTTGATAGACAATTTTCCATGATAGTATGATCTTATAAGGATCTTTGAAAATTCAATTTGCTCAGATGCTAGTTTGTCCTACCTGAATGGGCATGCCATCCAAGGACAAAGGGGGCTCTTTATTATAGGTAGCAACTGAATAGTTCTGCTCTTAAAGGTACTCATCATACCTGTATTCACTTTTTTCCAACACTGATCATTCAACCTCCTAACACATTCAATTTGTATATCTATATATGACCATACTTTGTAATCCTGTGCTCCTACTTCTTCATTTACTCTGAAATGAATGATACAGATTTAATTAAACACACTATTTTAGAAAATAATTTTTTTTTCTGAATTAAAGCCTGGCCCCAGCTGGGCTCAAGGAGTAGAAAACTCTCAAAACCCCATCCGGGTACAAATAGTTTAAGAGTTCTTAACTCGACCTTAAACATAATACAGGGTACAAAACAATCAAATGTGCCCATAGTAGGAAAACAGCATGTAAAGGATTTGGGAATAATGATGTCTGACGACCTAATGTTTAGGGAGCATAATCAAATATTGCATCAGCCAGAAAAATGATCGGATGGATTACGAGAACTTTCAAATCCAGGGATCCCATCACAATGGTTGTACTCTTCAAGTCACTTGTGTTGTCCTGTCTTTAGTACTGCTCAGTACTCGCTTCTCCCTTCAGAGCAGGAGAGATTGCTGAAATAGAGGGAATAGAGAACATATACGGCACGCATAGACACGATAAAGCACCTAAATTATTGGGAATATCTCAAAGCCCTCCAAATGTACTCACTAGAAAGAAGACGAGAGAGAGATCAAATAATCTACACAGTAAAATAACAACGTACTGGAGTGAACAATATGGAAGAAAATGCAGAATAGAACCAGTGAAGAGCAGGGGTGCCATAGGCACAATCAGAGAACACTGTATAAACATCAGAGGTCCATGGTTGTTCAACACCCTCCCAGCGAGCATAAGAAATATTGCCGAAACAACCGTGGACATCTTCAAGAGGAAACTACAGTAGATTGTTTCCTCCAAGGAGTGCCGGACCAACCGGGCTGTGGTGGGTATGCGGGCCTGCGGGCCGCTCCAAGCAACAGCCTAGTGAACCAAACTCACAAGTCAAGCTTGGCCTCGGGCCGGGCTTGGGGAGTAGGACAACTCCTAGAACCCCATCAACCAGGTATCTTGTCTGTAACTAACCATTCATCCATAAATTTACATAAATTTCACAAATGCCCAACTGTGGGTTTTTATGCAAATGCATTTATTAGTTTTAGAGACTAATGATGTTTTGAAAACTTTGGATCTAATAAATTGCCCCCAATTGCCTTTTTTTTTTTTTAAGTCGAGACAGCCAGACCTCCTTCGGCGATACTGGGAGTGTGCAGTTGGAAGAAGACTCTGTTGTAGATGAGGAACCTGTGCTCTTTAGTCTACCAGAATTGATTTTGACCTCAGCCTTTGATCTTGAGAACTTCAATACTCTCCTTTTAAACTCTATAGAAAATAAACCACTTGATGCCACAGCTCTCAAAGGTGTAAAGAATACGCTTCTGGAGAGTGGATCAAGGTGAGAAATAAAGATTTCATGTAGCTAAGGTTTTTAATATTTTTTCATATCTTGTAACTTCTGTGCATTTGCATGACAATAAGAATGAAAAGGTGTAATACTGTGCTGAAGTTCATATCAGAACCTATAATGAATGTTTTTTTATCCCATTTTCTATAGAGTATTAGCAGCACATCTAACTCAAGTTGACTTGGAGCTCCTAAATGGTAGTGGTGAGACCGACCTTGGTCTTGGAGTGACATCTGGCATTGAGCTGGTCACACTTCCTCATGGCGCACAACTCAGGACGGACCTTATTGAGAGGCAAGAACTGGTAGTGGAGTTATGAGACAATTTATGTCTACATTATCATTTGGTTTTATTATTTTATTACATTATATTTCTCTATACAATACTGTATATTGGTGATGGCATGCCTTTCTGGGAGCTTATTTTTTATGTGGTCTCATGTTAATTTTCCCTAGACATTCTAAATCCATTAATTTTAAGTTCTCTGTACCTTCACATCCCATTACTGAATAGTCTTCACATTCCAATATACCCACAGACTTGAAACTAGTATTAAATTGCTGTTCAGCATGTGTACATGTTGGTTCAGCATTAACTGAATGCCCACTTCTGTGGTATAAAATAAACTAATCTTAATGCCTCCATATTCCAGCTAATAGTCTCTCTCATATATTTTCATATTTGTTTTTCACATGCCCTAATTTTCTCATTGTTTTTCAGGACAGAGTGCATGAAGCTTCTGGTAGCTGTGACCATACTGTTGACTCCAGATCTGAATGAACGGTCAGAAGTTATACACCGTTGGATACAAGTAGCCATAGACACGAAGACTGCCATGGGAAACCTTTATGGCTTTACGGGTATTATGTTGGGCCTATGTGTTCCTGAGGTGAGGAGATGTTTGTTATTTTTGTGGGTTTGATAATTTAAACTGCAATGCACAAATTTTTTGCACTTTTGCTTAAATACACCTTCTTTTGTGTGTAATTAGTGACATTATAAAAATACACCTATTCATACAATTTCTGTATCATACATTAGCCCCTTCCCCATGTGTTTAGAGAATGATTGTTATAGTCGGGTGCCAGTGTCAAAATAATTATCATAAGGGGCAAATCATTCTTCAAGTTTACTCTTGAAGAATGTAACTCTTTACTTGTAACTCTTAAAATGCGATTATGCAGTGGTACCTCAGTTTTCGTAGTTAATCCGTTCCCAGAGACGTTACGAAAACAGAAAAATACGAAAACAAACGAATTTTCCCATAAGAAATAATGAAAATTTAATTAATCTGTTCCACACCCCCAAAAATATTAACTTAAAAATACATTTTATACAGAATACTACTAATATTTTCATACACAAAATAATCAGGTATAAATATAAACCATAAATAAAATAAGTGAACATTTAACTGCACTTTACCTTTACTGCGGACTTGTTGACGTATGGAAGACGGTGAGGAAGGAGGTGGCGAGATCATCCCCTGCTCATCTTAAGCGCATTCATATCTGCATCACTAGTTTCAGATTTTCTTTTCACACATTTCACTGCCTCTGTTATGTGGCAGCCAGTTACAGTCACAACATGTTAGTTAAGCATTCAGTCAAGACCAGTCACAGGCAGTCATAACCAAAGGCAGTCAAGCATTCACAGTTGTAGTAGCAACCGGTTAGGCATTTATGGTCAGTCACGCATTCACAGTCAATCAGGCATTCACAGTCACAACCAGTCAGTAAAAAATAAGAGTTTAATGACAGGCCCTCAGGGAGTCTTCCTCCCAATCCATCAGCTGGTAGCAAAGACGCACGCCGTATTAATAAAAAAAATTTAATACCTCTATATGGCTGGGAGGGGTACAGTTGGAAGGGTCTGGTGTGGGGGATGAGGGGGGTGGAGGTAGAGGGAAGGAAGCAGGATAGGGGGGATGGAGATAGCAGGGGGAGGGTGACCAGCTCTGCCAACCATCTCGCTACTGCCCGCCTTGATACCTGCCAGTCCACTACTGCCAGCCTATCCACCCACTTTGCCACCTGCCCCTCCACCATCCATCCATCCATCCAGTTCCTCTCCACCATCCATCCATCCAGTCCCCCATCCACCATCCATCCATCCCCCCAGTTTCCCCCACCATCCATCCTGTTATCCTCCCAAATACAATATTCAGTGCAGTTATATGTTGATTTTAGTTATTAGCATCCATTTTTTATCCAAATTGTGTGAATGTTTATAATACTTTATAATATTTGGTATGGATGTAATGGAGATGCCTATTCAAAAGTAAAGCAGCACCTATTTTCCTCATAGTAAACCCACTCCACTCATTATGGAAACTACATACATTATTTTAGTTTTTTAACACATCCAAAAAAGTAACAATTTGTCAATGAAGGTATCAATTAAAAAAAATAATAACTAATACACATAGTATTTCAGGGTTCATCATTACTCCTGGATCCATATAACTCATTTGTTCCTAACTAAGATGGGACACCATGAGTGTAGCTCTCATCCTGTAACTACACTTAGGTAATTTTCACACACACACACACACACACACACAGTATGTGCTTTATTTTGTAATCTGTGTGAGAGTATTAATTCTCTCCTCATTTGTGTTACTTGTCCTGCAGATCCAAAGGTTAACCAGCACGTGGCACACAGTACGTCAAAAATTTACAGACTCTGCATTCAACTTTGAAAGCAAGTTGAGGTCAACAGTGAAAGCAATGAATGAATGCACAAACCCTCAAGCCCCCAACACTACCATTCCTCATCTACTTCCATTCATACTCTTATGTGAGAGGGATCTCAATGATATCTACTCGATGCACAAACATGTAAGGATAATTATTTTACTCAATATAAGTTTCATATTAATGCTTTAACAGTCCAGCTTTTTGTCTAGACATAAATGGTCCAGCCCTCCCAGGACCCTTACACAAGAGATTCAAAATAGTTAGCTTTTTTGTTGCTTTACATATTATATTTTGAATTATAATTATGAATTTTGTCAAAATGTTTCAAAATGAATGGTCTAACGAAAAGATAAAGCAAAAAAGAAGTGCAGTACAGTATATGCTTTAGTTTAAATGTGGTATACCTGAATACAAAACATAAAAGTTCATAAATTTAACATTCCTCAATATTTACCATAAAAAGCACAATATTTTAATTAAAATATACACACTTGAAAATTCAATACTCAAACTGTCATAAAGGATTTGGAAACGTAAGCACCCCACAATGGATCTTGCCATCTGTAAATGCTCACACTGTTCAATTTTGTAAGGTTATTATGGGCATTATAGTATAAATTTTGTCTTAATGTGACCCAATGTATCTCCCGATTTATAAAAATATTTGTATGGATAATATTTAAATTATGAACTGCATGCTATAATTTACCTCTCCTCGGCACATGCCAGCCAACTGTTCAGGCAAATATGTTTACAGAAACATTGTAACTACAGTACTAGACATATGTTAAACTTTCAACATTCTTCCTACCTACATAATAGACCATTTACTCAGTGGGCACGGTTGGTTGATAAGTGATTGATGTTACATACCATTTTCTATGTGAAGTCTGTTGCTTTCAACGAATAATGCCCATTCCACCATCTCCCATGCAAATGTGATGGAAGGTATTTGGGGTAGAATTACTTCAAGATCAAAGTACTGTCAAAATCTTTATGCAGAACAATTTTGTTTTGGAATAGAGCCTTTTTTTTTTAGAAGAAGAATGAAAATCCTTGTCAGTACTGTACTCTGTGTTCTCTCTCTTTCATTGCCAGAACATTACTTTTGAAGTACAGAATAAAAAATAATAAAAAAAAGACCTGCATTCTTGAAAATAGTTCATATAAATTTTGGGTTGTATGAGCCATTATGAACTTTCCTTAAAAAATTTTATGGTAAGTTCATAATCTTGAAATCTTGGGAACAAAAATACATGGGTCTAGAGATTGAATGGTTGATAAAAGTGACCCCTGATTTTCCAGTTCCCAATATGGTGCCCACAATGTACTCTTGAAATACACAAGTCGGGTCATGAAGACAATTAAAATAATTAAGGGAGTAATTTTTGCAAGTTTAGAGATCAGATGATGCTTTTGGTGTCATTGGACCAATTACTGCATAATATTGACACTAAAATACATCAGACTGATAAAGTGCAAATAAGTTTCAAAATATGTAGATTTTGTAACAATTTATTAACTGATGAAAATGCTGTGCTGGGAAAGATCATCCAGTAAAAACCTAATTGAAAACTTGACCAGGCTACTCAAATTTACCATTTACAAAATTTATAAATAATAAATAAATGTTTATTCAGGTAAAGTACATACATACAAGAGGTTTTACAAAAATTGATAGATTTATAGATACAGCTAGTACATACAATGCCTAAAGCCACTATTACGCATAGCGTTTCAGGCAGGAAGTACTTAGTGTACTGTACAGTCAACCAATTGCATATTTTGTTTTAGCAAGGCTCTTAATGTTATATTTTAATCTTAAACATCTTTTTCCATTTTAGGGTTCATCAATACTGCAGTGGGAAAGCACAGCAGCTGATTATGGTATGCAGATGCTGTTTGCACATCTACAAGAGGCCAGAGCCATCACACAAAACCTGACTCTGTATCGTCGCAATGCCGAGCATATTTTGCCCGATTGCAATACTTTTGACGACTTAACACTTGACATGTTTCGCACAGAGTTCCACCTTAAGTTCCTATGGGGAAGTAAGGGTGCTGTTGCTGATAGTGAAGAGCGACATGCTAAGTTCCAACAAGTTGTCAGTACACTTTCTGAAAGATGTGAACCATCTCCAGTTGCTTCATAAATTTCTTTTGCTCAATAATGTATATTTTCAATTTTGTAAAAAAAGAAACTTAAAATGCCATATACTGTATGACATGAGTTTTTTAGGAAAATTATTACAATACAGTATGTACATGTATTATGTAATAAATAAAATTAAAGGTAATCATTGAATGTAAATTTATATTATTTATAATAAATTATGAATTGTTAAGTGCAGGAAGCTATAATTCAGATCTCTTATTCATGGTTCCTGTAGTTCAGTGGTCTACATCCCCAACTCTCACTCACATGGTTTGATCCCCAGGCAGGACAGAAATAGCTGAGGATGTTTCGTTTTGCCTGATACTTCTGTTCACCTAGCATTAATTAGGTATCCATGAGTTAGGCAACTTGTGGGGTTGCATCCTACAGAAGATCAAGGGAAGGGGAGGGGCATCGATCAGCCTAAGTACAGGCTTCCTATCCTCAACAATGGGAATTGTATGTCAATTAAAATATTACAATTAAAATACAAGAGGAAAGGTGATTATTAATGCAAGTTATTTACTGTATTATTGGATGTTTTTTTTATCTCCAAGTTCTATAATTGCTGTATATCTGCATTACATTTTTGGGGTTACATATTACCACCGAATATTCAGACAAATTTTATGGCATTATCAGTGATTTTGTACATATCATTTTCAAAAGGCTTTCTTTTAATAATGGAGCTATACTGCTCCATCCTTGGTTGTCATGGATTTGAATGATGTTTGAGGACTGTGAATAACACTCATATTTATCCTTGTGATAATGAACACGTGGATTATATTACGTAATCTTGGTGTATATTGTTGTGGCACAAATTTTGTGATTACTTACTACTAATGTTAAGGAATTCATGTGTGCGTGTGCAGTTACGTATGCAATTATATCGATGAGATACAAATTAAATGGACATAAACTCTAAACAACCAATGAACTTTATGTAAGTTATATAATTAAAAGACTGCAATGGGAATGTTGCATCTGTCTTTGGAATTATTGCATAACAGAAAGGTGCTTATTTACCTGGTCAGTGACATAATTATACCTTAGTGATCTACCCTTCCAAAGTAATAATATTTAGGGCAAGCTAGTTAACCATGCAGGAACAAAAACATATTATGGATATTGATCTCTGTATGATTTCTTTGCTTGTTAGTTAATCATATGAAGACAATGCTATGCAAGAAGTCATCTGAATCACTTAAAACTTTATGAATACAGTAATTAAAGCCCTTTATCCTATTCCATTAGTTAAAAGTTTTGAATATTCAGACACTATATTCTCCCCTCTGTTAATGGATGTTAATATTACTCACTGTAAACCTTAAATCAGATTATTGATGTCTTTTGAAAACGTTTTACTGTACTTGTGCAGCTTATGTCCAACCCCGTAAGCTTAGTTGACCTTAAAGCTTAACGGTGTTCTTATCTGTACTTCACAATCATACACTGATTAGTTCTAGTCACATGACAAGCTGGTATGGCTTACTAATTGTCATAAAAAATGTACATAGTTCTGACTTTGTACTTATTGTAAATAAATGGAGAATCGAAATATTGTTTTTTTTTAATTTACTACTACAGTATGTATATTTACTATGATCAGAATGTTTTAGAAATTTTAAATGGACTGAAAGAAGTGCTTAAACTGTGAAAAATAAAATTAATTTATTGTTTCCTGTGGTTTGCAAATATTTTAGCAATTTTCACACTTAAACTGGTATTTCTACATAAACAGTGGTACCTCAGCTTATGAATTTAATCTGTTCCCAGAGACATTTCGTAAGTCGAAAATTCGTAAACCAAAACGAATTTTCCCATAAGAAATAATGTAAATTGAATTAATCTGTTCCACACTTCCAAAAAATATTTACTTAAAAGTAAATGTTATACCTAATTCACCCAAATCTTTAGCACTAAAGTATGTAAAAGTTATTGCTTACTTTTATTGATGACTTGTTGGCATATGGAAGACAGTGAGGGGGGAGGGGGAGGAGAAGTGTTAGTGTTTGGAAGGGGTGTCCCCTTCCATTATAATATCAGGCAGTGATGAATTCTCTGGGGTACACTCTGGCACATTTTGGCTGCATACCACTAGGACCTGCTTGTGGCTCACTGCTTGATTTTCTCGCAAAAAATCTATCCATAGAGGATTGTTTTCCCTTTGTTGTAACACTTGTCTGTAGTGAGGCATCACAGAGTCATGATGTTAAAAAGGTTAGGGTAACGGCCTACTACAGCTTGCTCTGGGCAAGTCATTTCAACAAAAGTTTGCATTTCTTCCCGCAGACTACACCACTTCCTAATTGTTGAGGAAGAGACATTCTGTACTGCCTCCTCCTCCCCTGAAGACATTTCCTCAGCTGCCTCTTGTCAACAACCTGTGTACAATTTTCATGTTTACAAATTATCTCTTGTTTTTTCCTCTATGATCATTCTCACATGTATTTTCTTGCCTTGAAACTTATCACTGGCTTTCTTGGGATCCATGGTGAGATATATAATAACTTATGTTCAAATACACAAAACTACAAAAAAAACAAAAAAAAAAACTGAAATTCTTTACAAAAAATTCAGGCGCAATTGTCACTACGCAGGAGGCACTAGTAAACTGAGGTGCTGTCACCATACCACCACGCGCTAGGTTGGCCATATCCGTATCAAACTTCGTTTCCCTAGGTAAAGTTTGTAACCCGATTCGGATTTTACGAAGAAATTGGGCTTGTAACCCAAAAGTTTGTAAAGAGGGGCATTCGTAAGCCGCGGTGTCACTGTATTGTACACAATTCTCACGTACAATATTTATATAGAAATACCAGTTTACTTAAGTGTGAAATCTGGTGAAACTTTACAAACCCCAGGAAACAATAATTTAACTTTATATTACACAGTTTAAACACTTCTTGCAGACCCAGAAAATGGGTCAGATTTTGTTTAATATCAGAAATCAGACACTTGAGCATTATCTTTGAGCCAAAATCTGGCTTATTGCACATATTTGGAGTTTGAAATTACAACTTTTTATACCAGAAAATATGCCAATTAGTGAAAACGGCAATGGGTCAAATTTTGCCCAAATCCCCCTGAAGTTTTCAAAATATCGCCCTCAATGCTCTCCCCTTTTCTCTCCCACCTAGTAATTACTCTGCACTTTACATGGATGACCTTACCATTTATTGTAGTAGTGGTGATTTCTCTCATCTTCAGTATTTGGCTCCAGCTTGCAATTAATATCGTCTCAGCACTGATGCCTTTTAATCTTTTCCAGCCCAAAGCTTGTATGTGTAAACGGTGTTCCATCCCTGCATGATCGTGATTGTAATTGCTTTCAATACTATGGGTGGTCCCTTTGATGTCTCCATTCCAATTTGTGCTGTGCCTTGACTCTTGCACCTATAGCAAGGCCCAGTTATCTCTCCCTTTAGTTTGTTTACTGCTAGGATAGCATGTTTACAGAATTCACTGCCCCCATAAGAAATGCCTCAACCCATATGATGAAGGGTTACACAGTTCCTACAGTCATGAAACACCTATTCCTCTTTTAACAGCAGAACTGCATGCAATTCTGTTTGCTTCCCTTCAGCAGGAATAAGACAGTTGAACTTTGCTGGGTGTTGATGCCTCTAATGGCCTGACTATCATACCTTGAGGTATGGAGGTAATACCATTCTTACTTTCATGGAGGCCATTCGTGTGTATTCTGTTTCATGAAAACACTTCATTCATCAAATTTCTACCTGGTCATTCATGTCATAATTCACAACTGTTGGGGCTATAGTGGAGTTGCAAGTAACTGCATAATATTAAGTGTAAGCTATCCCTACCACCATAATAGGTGGAAAACAGCTCTGGCTAAATTGCATATTGGCCATACGTGCTTAACTCATAAGCACTTTATGGGACAGATTTGCATCTTATAGTTTGAATTGCATTATTCCAGCTCAGTCATAGACCTTTTCAGACTGTCCTGATTTTCAGGATGATCAGAAATCTTACTTTTTCAAGGTTCATTCAAGTCTTTTACTCTCTCAATAAAATCCTTGGTGAATTTGATACTTTTGACATTGCTCATCTTGGTCCTTTTGCTTTCATATTAGCATCCTTACTATTCTGTGCCACAGATGGTGCTAGTCTCCAGGCTTGGTGCCTTCTTTGGAGAAATACTTGCTACTGTAAAAACATTTACTCTGCTAAGGTCCATTTTCCACAAGCGCTCAGAAAATATACTGACCCATGTGTTTAGATATAAACCTATGGGTCTGCTCATAAGGTTTACACTTAGAAAAAAAAAAGTCTGCTGCATATACATTATACTACATCCTGTTAAAAGCGTTTAACAAATACAAATTTTATTAAACGTAGAGTACTATAAATATACAATATTTCACCACAAAAATCTAACTCATTTGTTTAATCCTTTCATTTCGATATTAGACCTTTAAAATTACAAAAGTTGCCATTCACTACAATTGTCAACTCTCCAGGTACATTCTCTACTTTGAAAGAAATTCTTCCCTCTTAGAAAACTTCTTTAAGTATGGCAATAGTCAACTTGGTTCTGAAGCCATATTACTTGGCACTTAGATGTGATACTGCTGTCATCAGATAGTGAGAGAATCTAAAGTTCAACACACTCACCCCATGCTTCACGAGCAATTTGGCCTAGATTGGTATTCTGGCCAGGGAGGATTGACTAGGCACCAATCCTTAACTGTATGCCTCTGTTCACCTAGCAGTGACTTTAGTACCTGGTTGTTAAAAGATTGGCGGGTCGTATTCCAGGGAAACTAATTCCTGGGGGAAATTTCTTCAGGGAATTAGTTTTCCTGGAATTTATATTCCAGGGAAACTAGGCTTCACATGAGCTAAGGGAAGGGAAATCTCTCAGCCTGCTAAAAGGAGTCAGCAGTCGTCTGTTCCTGTACTCACCTAGTTGTGCTTGCAGGGGTTGAGCTTTGGCTCCGCCTCTCAATCATCAATCTACTGGTGTACAGATTCCTGAGCTTCGAGCTCTATCATATCTACATTTGAAACTGTGTATGGAGTCTGCCTCCACCACACCACTTCCTAGTGCATTCTATTTACTAACTACTCTGACAATGAAAAAGTTTTTTCTAATGTCTCTGACTCATTTGGGTACTCAGCTTCTACCTGTGTCCCCTTGTGCGTGTACCACCCACATTAAATAATCCACCCTTGTCTATCCTGTCAATTCCCCTGTGAATTCTGTATGTAGTGATCATGTCTCCCCGAGCTTTTCTGTCTTCCAGCAATGTGAAGCACATTTCACACAGCCTTTCCTCGTAACTCATGCCTCTTAGTTCTGGGACTAGCCTAGTGGCATACCTCTGAACTTTTTCCAGTTTCGTCTTGTGTTTGACAAGGTACAGGCTCCATGCTGGGGCCGCACACTCCAGGATTGGCCTTACATACGTGGTATATGAGGTTCTGAAAGATTCCTTACACAGGTTTCTGAAGGCAGTTCTGATGTTAGCCAGCCTCGTATACACCAATGTTATTACTCACCTGCGTGGGAGTGTGTGTATATAAAAGTCAACCCAAATGGTACTTACATGTCACCTGATCTTACTTTTTCTAACCCTGACCTCAAATGGCCTCTTGTAATTTCCTCTATACTGTGCTTATATGAAGTGTCTCCTATAGTCTCTACCATTGTTAACATATACCATCATAATTCTTCCCAACATCCTATGCTCACATACAATCATTTCCATCATTTTTATTGTTCCTCTCCTTATACACTGTTGTTAATAGATGGTCTTTTCCTCCCTGCTGGTTGGAGCATCTTGCCCAATACTTATTTCATCTCCAAAATAACATCCGACTACTGTAAGAAGACATTCGACTGCTGTAACCAAAACTATATTAAACATAAAATACCAACTTGCTCTTTGAATGTCGTCACCCAAAAATGAATATGTTAGAGCTCCAAGCCTGTCAATAGGAGTCATAAGTTGTGCTAAGACATTGTTCCTCCTACAAATCTAAACTTACCTATTGAAAATTGTTACACATCACTGATATAATTGGGTTGCATTAGGAGATCTTGTTCAATATTACTGCCCGGTTGGGATTCAAAAATGGCCCTCAAAAGTAATCATTACACGTCATTGCTAATCGTTAATAGTAATAACAGTAGAATTAGTAGAAGTGGTATTGATAGTAATAATAGTACAGTATTCTTATTAGTAATTATAGTACAGTATTATTAGTAGTAATATGTAGTAGTAGTAGTAGTAGTAGTAGTAGTAGTAGTAGTAGTAGTAGTAGTAGTAGTAGTAGTAGTAGTAGTAGTAGTAGTAGTAGTAGTAGTAATATAAAGAGTAGTGACAGTAGCAGCCTAACCATGATAATAGCCTAGTATGTTTTAATCGCCAGTGGTGGCGGAAAATAAATGGCAGCTGAAGCAGGTATGTAGGGAGCATAATCGTCATCACTTATCCTTGCCAGGAATAACCTCACTGTTTAAAACAAAAAAATACGACTCTCAGGTCTCTTTGACAGCCACTTGTACTTCTGGCGCTGCTGACTATACAACCCACGTCACGGGCCTCGCCTGCCAACGAACCCCGTCCCAGGAAGCAAGCAGCCTTGTCAGGTTAACTTGAGGAGCGGCTGAGCAAGGAAGGTGCCATTGCAATCCCAGTCACTCACCAGCTTAGTTCCCTCCCTAGTGTTCCCTGGTATATAGGTCCTGGTCGACTACAATAGGTAACTAGCGGTAAGATCATCGTCTTGGTTAATTAATTATTAGAGGATGGAAGGGTGAAGAATGTCTAAAATTTTCGATTTCTCGTGTTTCAAGAATTCCATACAAATCTGATGATTTTATTCGTAGCAACTTGTACAAATATAGTTACAATTCTGGCTGGACTGAAAATGGCACAGAAATAAAAAAAAATGTATATTAATATAAACTTACAGCTCTGAATTAAACGTTGTTAGTAACGGTGCGGATATTTACTGCTAGGTGAACAGAGGCATTAGGTGAAAGGAAACGTGCCCATCAATTTCTCTCCCGCCCGGGTATCGAACCCGGGATCCCCGTTTGTAACTAAAGAACGAAACTAACTGTGCTACATGGTAATTGTCCACAATGGATAATCGTTTGATTAATCTATTATGCAACCCCTCATACCCAATATTCCACATCTCTAAATTTTTTCCTTCACCTGAACTTCTCCATCTTCACTCACTCCCCATCCCCCCCTACCCCAAAAAAACCCTCCCGTGGGTAGTATTGGAAAGGTTAGAGGCACATAATGAGCTCGTGCGAAAATTTCCGCTTAAACGTTGAGTGGAAAATGTTCTTGGTATTGCGTGAGTTTGGGAAATTACAAAATTAGTGCTACCCAATTAGGCTGCACCGGACTAATTACCAGCGAAGCCTCGCGCACCGTGGGGTTGAGAGAGAATATATAACTCGACAATGTCTAACAAATTAATCATAGAATTCGTGAATAAATAGATAACCATATATTTTACGATAACGAAGGTTGCCAGTGAATTATTGCTGAAAGATTTAAATAAACCAGATATTTACGACTCAAAAATTACTAATCGCATATAAAAATATGCAACAAATACAACTATTGTAGTGATGTAAGAAATTGGGTAATGGGCTAATTTAGTATAATAATTTAGTTTTTTATTGCCGAGCCATGTGCTTGCAGGGGTGAGAGAATAGTATGGTCGACACCATATATTGGCTGTATACCGGGGACGCCATATTTTATTTCTCATCGGGACAGGAAGTCGTTAGGCTTATATTCTAAGTTTATTGCTAACATTTTAATTTGAATTGCTAACAAACTTTTATTTCACTCAGTCTTCACGTCTCCACTTTCACTCATTTGTTATTCACGACTTTAATTTTTCACGCGTAGCTTCTCACTGGCCACACTCAGGCAACCAATTATTCAACAAATCAACCAATCAAGAAATCAATTAACCAATAAATCAAGCAATCGATGATTCAACTAAGCCATCATCGGCTCAGTGAATATATAGACACTGTCATTCCATTCATTATTTTTATAAATGTGGTTATATTTAAAGTTTATACAACGGTTCAAGATTTTTATGAAAATCTTTATCAAAATATATAAATTGTATAACCTAAGTTCAGAAGTATAATTCCTAAATCAATACGGAATGTAAGTAATTATCAAACGAAGGCGCCAAGACTATGTAGCATCAATGCGGAATGTATTGTAGTACGTAAAAGTGTTTGTGTGAGAGAGACAAGAGAAGATTGTGACTTAAGTAAAATGCTAGCTGTAATACTCAGCTGTTTGGGGAGGCGTCTTGAGCCAAGTTGTGTAGGTCACGAGATGTCAAAAGGTCGGGCTGAGGGCCAACTTACTGGCAACTTGGCTGGCACGCCGTGTATTAAATGACGTAAGAGAACGCCAAGACCAGAAAAATCTGAACCATTAATGGCACGTGGCCTTCTCCCTCCCTCCTCCACCTTCTATTCGCAACCCTTAATTCTCCCCTCAACCCACTATACCGTTTAAAAATGAACCATGTGATTTTTAATGACAAACGATCACCAGAAATGTATACAAATAACAGCATTAAATAAATGACTTTTATTGGCCAGGACTGTTGTAGTTCAGTTCTTGAACCAATTGTTCAGCTACAATCTTGATAACCTAGTTACACTTTAATTTATATATAATAAACAAAATAATAATAATATTAACGACTATTGATTCAGACCACATCTTTAAAGAGTCAGGTTTAACAAACAAGGAGCAATGTTTACAAGTTCAACAAGCCACAAAGTAGGACGGCAAACACATGCTTTTTCATCCATAGGGTTATAAATCCATGGAACCACCTACCCGATGGAGCCGTAAATGCCAAAACAATGATGCAATTCAAAATCCAGTTGGATAAAATCGTCAGGACTTTTGACAATCCTTCTTGTCCTCATCGCGACCACTTAAGAGATAGTGGCCTTCAGGTAAAAAAATATATATATATATATATATATATATATATATATATATATATATATATATATGTCGTACCTAGTAGCCAGAACGCACTTCTCAGCCTACTATTCAAGGCCCGATTTGCCTAATAAGCCAAGTTTTCCTGAATTAATATATTTTTTCTAATTTTTTTCTTATGAAATGATAAAGCTTCCCATTTCATTATGTATGAGGTCATTTTTTTTTTATTTTAGTTAAAATTAACGTAGATATATGACCGAACCTAACCAACCCTACCTAACCTAACCTAACCTATCTTTATAGGTTAGGTTTGGTTAGGTAGCCGAAAAAGTTAGGTTAGGTTAGGTTAGGTAGGTTAGGTAGTCGAAAAACAATTAATTCATGAAAACTTGGCTTATTAGGCAAATCGGGCCTTGCATAGTAGGCTGAGAAGTGCGTTCTGGCTATTAGGTACGACATATATATATATATATATATATATATATATATATATATATATATATATATATATATATATATATATATATATATATATATATATATATATATATATATGCAACAATGATCACAAAAATATATATATATTATAATATATAAAAATATAATATATATGATATATATGATATATATATATATTATATATATATATATATATATATATATATATATATATATATATATATATATATATATATATATATATATATATATATATATATATATATATATATATATATATATATATATATATATATATATATATACATACATTATATATGGGGTCCGTGGTTAGAGTACTTGGGCCCAAGTAAATATTTTTATTGCCCACGTTTATCGTGCCTTACAATTGATATACAGTATTGTATGTATATATGCAACAACGATCATGAAAACACTGAATCAAAGTATGCGGAAAAACTACACTGAAAAATAAGAGGATCCTAAACGCGAACACTTTTTCAGAACAGAGTTATAAAAGCTTAGAACCCATAGCCATCAACAACTAGTGACAAGTTTACCCAAGGCACCAAGTATCTCTGAAGAAGTGGGGTGATAGTAATGGTGATCCAGATCTCTGTAGTTACGAGATTTGGCTGATTTCCTGTGAGTAGCAGCACCACTCGGGTGTGCAACACTGAAGTCAATGTAGGCATTGGACAAGGTTGATAGGCACGTCTAGTCCCACACCAACTGCCTACCAATCTTCCAACGGTTCACTGTGATCCCATATGGGTGACCAACAGGCTCGTCAAAGTTATGGGGCATTAGGTTATGGGGATCTCTCTCTGCTGGACAACCAGCTGTGGTAAGGTTCCTCTCAATGTCATTAACACAACTGTTTTGAGTGCACCCGCCCCCACCCTATGTGCTTTGGCAGAGCAGACATGCTGGTCATACCTGTCAGTCACTGCTTCACCACAAATACATTTATATTCATTGTGGATTTGGGCAGCAAGTTGGAGAGTTACTATTCAGGGGGCCTGTGGTGTGAAATGCATGCCAGTTGCTGACACTCGTGTTAATAGAAAATCACCAGTATAGGAAGCTGCTATGGCCTTGAGGCAGGCAATGTTGCATGGTCTAGGCACACTGCCTAGACCATAGACATCAGTCTAAGATTGGGCCATCCCAACTGAAATGCCTGTGGGCTTTAGATGGCGGTGTATCCTACATCACAATAACTGCCGCCTCAGTGGTAGAGAGAGTGACAATGAAATAAGACTCCATTGTGAATTCAACCTGTTCTTACGTGTCAACTGCAATTTTTTTAATGTTTTTTGCCAAACTAAACGTCTAAGAACTTAAAAGCAACTCACCGCCCAAGCTCATTTGGTCGAATAAACATCAATTTGTGTGCACTTTTAATTTCACTAAATCACCGCAAATTTTGCGTCGTCTCAATTGCGTAAAAACTGTAGTGTATTAAACGAGAGGACAGATCTTCAAATCTGTTTTTATTTTTAAATACTTTAAATTTTTGTATTAAAGGTGCCCGTGTCCAGTTTCAAATACAGTATTTGAATTCAAAGTTTTCCTCGATTCTCTGCTTTTTCGTTCGATACGTACAGTCATACTAATTGCCAACTGGCTGAAAAGCTGTTCAAGTCGCTAACATGATCATCATATAGGCGTGGTTTTCTTGCAAGATTGTATCAGCAACTTGTCAAGTTCCAAGACCGTATCATCACTTTCATTTGAGTTTCATGAAAGAAATGGATAACAAATTTTATTATTTATAACTGTTCACAGGCAATATTTATTATCAAGGGAGGATGTATTGTGCTTTGTCATGTTTCTTACAGATTAGACACTAAATATCCAGAGGACCCGACATGCGGTGGGACGAAGGTGGTGCAGACGATGGCTACGATACCCGTGAGGATGTCAGCCTGTGTGTCAGTGGTGACAGCCGGCCTGACGGTGACAGCCAGCCTGACGGTGACAGCCGGCCTGACGGTGACAGCCGGCCTGACGGTGACAGCCGGCCTGACGGCCAGGATAGCGTTGTCGAACTTTCCCTCAGAGACCGTATTCTCACTCTCTACAAACAAGGCAAGACTAAGCATCCTTTTGCTTGTTCCGGCAGCTTTTGTTACTCTCAAATTGGTCAGTAAGAAGTGCCACGGCCTCAATAATCCTCCATGTGGAGGTTGACAGAACCAACACCAAACTGAACATGAATTTGTTTTCTCAGGTGACGCCGCTGCCATACTGTCCTTCATCGGAGAGGCCTCGGCGCAAGGAAAGACTGGCGGAGCTGACAAATGGGACCCATTACTGCTGTGGGTGCGGCCTCAACCTTGTTGCTTGCAAGCCCTGGCCGCCCACGTCAGACAAGCCAGCCTCTCTGCTCTGGCCTCCATAGGCTGTGGCACCGGCCTCCTCGAGTGGCTCATCAGCGCCACCACAGGTAGGCCTATGCCAATTCTTACTCATACACCCACCATATATAACTTTGTAATATAAAACAGGGTTTATCTTAAGCCTTTATAAATATTTTATCACTATTCACCCCTCGATCTGTAAATTTTAATGTCACTGCTTTTGGAAAAATGACTTGGCTAGCCAGTATATTTCTGAGTATGTCTAACACATGTTCACGTAGCAATAATATATCCCACTTTCTATCCTTGAGGCATTACCTCCCAGTTAATGGTGGTGTTTGCTGCTTACTAGTTTACATAAACCACACCTACAATGTATAGGTACCTTCTAGTTAGCAGTCATGTTCAAGTATGTTTATTGAGACAAGAAAAAAATACATCTCAATGGGATAGAGTACCTTAGGCTATTTCTACCCCCTTCCAGTTAGCAGTCCTTCGCCCAGCTGTGATGGTAGCACTCTCTCGCGTGTTATTTGAGTGTCTGTTACAGGTCTCCACAACGGCTCAGTGGTGCCATGAGTTCTTTAAACAGTTAGTTAGTTTAGTTCATTTATTATGCACCCCATACCCATCTCCCGAGTAGTGGAAAGGGTTACAGAGACACATAATGGGCTCAGGGACTGAATCCATACATCCCTACAACATGCCAGTTCCTCACTCCAGGTTAGACTGAGAAGTTATCTACAGTATATATTAAATGGGTTACGGTAGTACAGTCCGGTTCCTTCTCTACTCACAATCGAGAATTCCGGGTTCGATTCCCGGGCTGGACAGAAATGGTTGTGCGCATTTCTTATCACCTAATGCCTCTAGGTGATAGGAAATACAATTCATTCTTGGGGGGTGGGGTGGGAGGAGGGTTCAATATAATGCTAACATGTGTGAACACATACAGGCTGCCTGTCCCGCGACTCCATTATTATTGATTAATTATGAACCATGGGACGAATGAAAACTATTAAACAAAACAGTGTAACTCCGACGATGTCAAATCAACATAAAATTGTACTGGTGCTAACTTAATTGCACGTCTAAGTATAAACAAGAAAATAAAACTCGCTATCCCTTTGCTTAGAAATAGAAGACAGTAAGTTACCTCAGGATCGCAGATAACACTTAACACATTTCAGCAGGTCATAAATGCCAAACAAATAACATGCTGTCAGCCTCCCTAAAACAATAACACTTACCTTAATAAAGGGGTATTACAAACTCGCCCAGCAGCGTGCTACCACTCCAGTAGTCACACGCCAACTGAGGCATGGACCACCTCTGACCTCACGCATTCATGCAACCAAAAGATTACCAACACCATGTACCCAATATTTATCCCCCACCATACACAAACTTACGACCAAGACATACTAGTAGCACAGACCTAACCTAAAGTTACATTATTTCTGGTAAAATAATAATTAATGAACAAGCAAAATACTCTGCACTAAACCTTACTGAAAACAAGGAATGAAAATAAGGTTGGCAGCAATGGCGGTAAGAAGCCCTGGCGCCTCACGCGTCCAGAAGTTGACAATGTTCCGTTTTTTGTTTGTGGGTCGTCTGGTAGGTTAGGATTGTCCTCTTAATAGAACGCCGTTTTTCTAACAGAACTCGTCCTCCTAACAGAAAGTCGCATTTTGACGTATACTCTACCTAAAGGCAAAAACTGTCGTACTAGAAAATGGTAGCGACTCGTGAAGTTGACATACTGCCCCGTTTTCTGTTTTGGATCCTCTTGGTAGATTACGAGTAGATTAGATTAGGTAGAAGGGTAGTTTAGTATGGCAGTTTCTTGACGTTGGGAACCCCCGCGAGAACGGCCCGACTCCCCCTCCCCCACAGATATATGACACTCCTCCCTCCAACTTCCAAATACATTGGAAATAAGCAACTATTATGCTCAATTAGTATTAAGCTTGTCATTTAAGTTTATCATGCCCGAAACGCTTTGCGTAATAGTGGCTTTAGGCATTGTATGTACTAGCTCTACCTATAAGTCAACCAATCCTTGTATAAATTTATTGTATGTATGTACCTTACCTAAATAAAATTGTATTGTATTGTATTGTATAACTAGGTGAATACAACTAGGTTAATAACCTACCTCAAAGCACAATTGAACAAAATGGCTTATTACGGCAAACCACTGCACTTCTCCCTCGCACCACAAGTTGATATTTACCTGAGGTACACTAATAGTAGTGGCCTCGACGAGGACAGGAAGCCGGGGGCTTGTCAAAGGCCCCCCATTTGCCCTGCTGATCGTTTCCAACTGTATTTTAAAACCCAGCAGAGTTAGCAAAGCCTACAACATAATATTTCACATTTTACACAGAACAAGCTGTAAGAAATAAATTCATGACTATACCAAGCCTGGGAGTGCACAATACTTCTAGATAACAAATTATTGGGTAGTGATACACAACAAGTTCATAATAATGTCTTACACTAAGGAAGCCTCAATGTGGGTACAGTAGTAGTACAGTAGGTAATTAAGGCAATATTGGTTACTATTAACTAGCTTAATTACTTGGAGAATGTATCCTTGTCTTTCTTGCATATGTATCCTCCACTGTTCATGTTTCGTATGTATGTACACTTGTATAAATATATTATTATTAATTAATATTCAGTTTTATTTAAAAAGGCAAGACTCTTCCCGCTTCTTTTTAACTTTATTTGCGTTCTAAAAATGTTTTCGAAATCTATTATCTTTATTTACCTTAATAAATGATAGGTGATAATGAATGTTTCTTAATTCCCTAAAATCACAAGGTTTATGTTTCCTATTGCTGTCTAGCATATAATTTAAGACAAATATTTATGTCTCAATTGCACAGTAACTTGAATATATATACTGTATAATTAGCTACAGATATATAAGTAAAATAGGTACTAATTGGGAATAATGTGTTCTTTGTTATTTGTGTAACTGATGAAATATCAAAGCCAGTTTGTATATCCTGAAGCCCATAATGATTAGCATTAACATGTTGTAAAAAGCGACATGTTAATTAGTTCAGTAGACACGTCTTACCTTGTACTTTTATGTTAACCCAGATGCTGTATTGCCCCTAAACTAAGCAATTTGACGGCAGGTCTCTCAGTAACCGGGTACGAAGTGAACTGTGGGTGGTGGAGCTCCCGCTACGCTCCTCCCACTTTCATTCCCTTCACCTACGTCGACCCTGATGACTGCCCACCTGCAGTGCCGCCCTCTCACGCCCTCATGTGCTGCTACTTCAACAACGGACAAGTGTTCCGGTAGGTTTATTATATTTGTATACATATATAGTAGTAGGAGGGGTACCCGGCGGTGCCCGGGATAGTCTGTCTCTTATCCCCCACCCCCCTCTTCTTTTGCCCTCTCCCCATATCTTCCCTCTCGGTCCCCCTTTTTTCAATCCCCCTTTTCCCTCTTCTGAAAATTTATTATTAAGAAGCACTCAAACAACTGCATGGGTCTCAGATAAATATTATAATCACTAAAACTCTTAAGAGATTTTACATCAAATATTTCACATTTGACTATGAAAATTGCTTTTATTTGTATCCATAATGTCTCTGGAAACATCATACATTTTGTGTCATTTTCATTTATTATTAATCATACCTTGAGGTTACCTTGAGGTGCTTCCGGGGCTTAGCGTCCCCGCGGCCCGGTCGTCGACCAGGCCTCCTGGTTGCCGGACTGATCAACCAGGCTGTTGGACGCGGCTGCTCGCAGCCTGACGTACGAGTCACAGCCTGGTTGATCAGGTATCCTTTGGAGGTGCTTATCCAGTTCTCTCTTGAACACTGTGAGGGGTCGGCCAGTTATGCCCCATCATCACCGAACTATTAATCCATATGGTTATGGCTTTTTGCCTAATTTTTTTTATCTTGTGCTTTAAATCCATTATAATGTTTCAAGCATATTATAGGTGCCCAGCCAAAGCTTCTTTTGCCCCAGGCACCTACAACTTACAAAGTCCAGCTCTAATTCTGTATTTCATGTAAACAGGCAGTATGTGGCAGCATATAAAGGACCAGTGCTAATCATCATAGGCTCTGTAAACGGGAGCCACCACCACACGGAACCTCACCCACTTGATTACGTACACGTCCACCCCTGGATTCTCACACATACCCATCATATCTCCCAAGACGACCTACTTGCTTGCTATGTCCGTGACTGTAGCAAGGAGGGCATGCACAGAGAGCCATCTGTATAACTTCATTTACAACACATCAAGAAAGATGTGTGTACATTGCCAATGTATGTAATATTGTGTGGATAGCCAACACAATAAGTATCTGTGTAAACAAATAGATATTACATAATTTGATAGATCTAGCAAGGACGATCCCTTTGAAACTTCTAAAGTGGGCCTCTAAGCACTTAAATAAAAACAATGATCTGCTGTAAAATACAGTTGGAAATCCTTACCTGCCAAAGAGATGCTGCATGTGTCATGTTCCAATGAAGGGCAATAAATATAGTGGTCATCAAGTGAATACTGCACTAAAATGTGAAATACATTTTGAGAACTTGACTTAAGGCAATGGTGGTAAATAATGCAAAATGTATGAAATAACTAACACAAGATGCCGTGACTACAATGATGATACTGAGTTAAGAAAATGATCCAAATGAGAGAGCTACTATATGGACCCTGCTTGCATGAAAGCAGGGAAATTTCTGGGGGGGGGGGGGAGGAAATTCTCTTCTCTTCCTTAATTTTTGTGAAATAAGCAATTATTCAAACAGAATTTTGTTAGAAGGGTAATGAATGATTAAAAGTTATTTTGTGATAATTTGAATGGAATAATTTACACCTAGTCTATACTATGAATGAAATACTGCTGACCGTCTCTGTGCTTGGATTAAATACAATACTGGTACTGTATATGGTAAGAAAAATATATACGGTGACTGAAATTAAATATGAAATTGATGATAAAGGAAATCATTAATATTTAATGTTAGCAAATTAAAGTTAAATTACAATTACAGTAATTCAACTAATACAAAATAAATGTAATGAAACTAGGAAAACATATAAGTTTAATGCTTCAGTTTTCCTTAAAAAAGACTAGCATTTCGAAATGGTAGCCACTGAGCTCTGATCTCTTCAGCTTGAACACGTCCACAAATTCAATTATTATATAATTTTTTTCATCAGGAAAAGCCACTGGTGTTATAAAGGTAATAAAACAAAGGAACCTAAATAATTAAGCCACTGTCATGGTTTCCCACTGTCATGGAGATGATTTCACTAGGCCAGGGATACCTAACCATTGGTGCCATACCCCTATGGAGGTGTGAGATGGCATTTCAATGGGTGTGACAAAGGAGGAGGCTGCATCACACCTTGCCAGAAATGATCCCCCTTTTGAAAAAAAGAGGATAATGTTTATTTCTTCATCTTCCAATGTGATATTACTGTACTTTTGTAGAGGGTACAAACATAAATCAAAATTTTTCACGGGATGCAGGAGTATATAAAAAAAAAAGTCAGAAACCTCCTGCCTAGGCCAGCAACTGACCTTTCCCTGGATGCAACCCACAACATTCACATAATTCCCTGGGAGCTAAGTGACCATGCTACCTCATACCAACATTATATTGGCTATCAAATAATTCCATCGTACAGTGAAGTACAGTAGAGCTTTTATGTTTTGTAAAGAATTTATATGGTTAAATCATTGGCAGATTTTACAAAACATATGATTATTGGGAGATAATGTCAACAAAGAGTTCTACAGTATTTCCTTTGCTTGCACACTTCTTAGTTATTATTGCTTAAAAGAAGAATACAGTATTTACATTTAATAATCAAGGGTTTCTCTCAAGAAACTAGTAATTTCAAACTACTGTACTACAGCAATAACTGATTTAACCAAACTGCATATGTTGGAGTAAGTAATAAATTTTGTAGTATGCAGAATGAATATTGTGGTGTGCAAAATTAATATTATGGTACACAAAAATGAATATTGTGATGTGCAGAATGGATGTTGTGGTGTGCAGAATGGATATTGTGGTGTGCGGAATGAAGCAATCATGAGTATTATAATTACAGTACTGTATATGAAAATGTTACTGAAAAATCTGTAATATTGAGTAATGTTAGTGATGGATATGATGCACATAAGAGGTACTGTAGTTATGAAAAGTCAAAGACAATTTGATCTACATATATTCTTAATTGAATCATAAAAAAATCATGGCCATCTTTATTTCACCAATAAATAATGAACATTTGGCCATTATTTTGTAAAACATATAAAAAATGCACACATAATTACGAGAACTTTTATAATGTATAAAAATTAAATAAGCAACATTTCCTTGTATGTGAAAGCAATACAGTACTGTATCTTCATTTGATTACGAAAGATAAACTTGTACATAACGCTAAACAGAAGACTTCTAAATATAAAGTATAAACAAAGCAAACACACTCACACAATGGTAGACACTTGGAACAAGCTAAGCAAGAAGGTGGTGGAGGCCAAAACCGTCAGTAGTTTCATAGCGTTATATGATAGAGTACTGGGAAGACGGGACACCACGAGCGTAGCTCTCATCCTGTAACTACACTTAGGTAATTACACACACACACACACACACACAATAAGATGTCAACATGGGAGAATGTCATTAAGGGTGTCCAACAGGTTTCAGGTTTCAGTACTAGTCTCAGTTATATTCCTCTTGTATATACTACTCGCCTATTTGAGCTTGCGGGGGTTGAACTTTGGTCCCGCCTCTCAACTGTCAATCAACTGATGTACAGATTCCTGAGCCTACTGGGGTCTATCATATCTACATTTGAAACTGTGTATGGAGTCAGTCTCCACCACATCACTTCCTAATGCATTCCATTTGTCAACCACTCTGTGTGTGTGTGTGTGTGTGTGTGTTATATATATATATATATATATATATATATATATATATATATATATATATATATATATATATATATATATATATATATATATATATATATATATATATATATATATATATATATATGTCGTACCTAGTAGCCAGAACGCACTTCTCTGCCTACTATGCAAGGCCCGATTTGCCTAGTAAGCCAAGTTTTCATGAATAAATTGTTTTTCGACTACCTAACCTACCTAACCTAACCTAACCTAACTTTTTCGGCTACCTAACCTAACCTAACCTATAAAGATTGGTTAGGTTAGGTTAGGTAGGGTTGGTTAGGTTCGGTCATATATCTACGTTAATTTTAACTCTAATAAAAAAAAATTGACCTCATACATAATGAAATGGGTAGCTTTATCATTTCATAAGAAAAAAAATGGAGAAAATATATTAATTCAGGAAAACTTGGCTTATTAGGCAAATCGGGCCTTGTATAGTAGGCCGAGAAGTGCATTCTGGCTACTAGGTACGACATATATATATATAATATATATATATATATATATATATATATATATATATATATATATATATATATATAATATATATATATTATATACTTTTATATATATATATATACATACTTTATATATATATACTTTATATATACTTTACTTTATATCATACTTTATATATATATATATATATACTTTTTTGGTGCCTCCCTCTGTGCTCTCAAAAAGAAGGACGAAGGAATCAGGCCAATCGCTGTTGGCAACACTCTCCGACGCCTGATTGCCAAGGCTGCTACGAGGGTAGTCAGCCAGCAAGCGGCTGAATTGCTGAAACCAATCCAGCTAGGATTTGGAATCCCCCAAGGCTGTGAAGCGGCTGCTCATGCAGCACGAGCATACATCACAAACATTTCTGATGAAAAGGCCCTGCTCAAACTGGACTTTAAGAATGCCTTCAACATGGTAAGAAGAGATGCAGTACTTTGTGCCGTACATCGCCATTTCCGGCCCCTCTACCCGTTCATACTATCGTGCTACAGTGGCGAGTCAAAACTGCTCTTTGGTGAACATGAAATCAGATCATGTGAAGGTGTTCAGCAAGGTGATCCTCTTGCTCCCCTTCTTTTCTGCTTAGTCTTAAAAGAAATCACCGAAAGCTTGTCCAGCGAGTTCAACATCTGGTTTTTGGATGATGGCACTATAGCTGGCACCGTAGACCACCTCTTGTCAGATATCAGGAAAATAAGGGAGCAAGAAGTAAGCCTGGGTCTCGTCCTGAACCCTTCCAAGTGTGAAGTAGTCTCCTCCAACCCAGACATCGTAGCTAGAATAAGGTCTGCCTTGCCTGGAGCCCATGTCATTAGGGCCGAGAACAGCACCCTCCTTGGAGCTCCCCTCGGGTCTAACGCCATTGAGGAGATCCTCGACAAGAAAATCGCAGACCTTAGGAGGATGGAAGACAGAATAGGTGACATCGATGCCCACGATGCTTTTTATCTCCTCACCAAATGCCTATCCCTTCCGAGGCTAACCTACTTTCTGAGGTGCGCCCCATCTTACAACAACCCAAAGCTTGACGAGTATGACCTCCTACTGAAGACCATGCTGGAAAAAGTTGTTAACCTCTCTCTCAACGAATGCCAGTGGAAACAAGCCACTCTTCCTGTCAGGCTCGGTGGCTTGGGTGTCCGCACCGCCACCCAAATTGCAGTCCCAGCCTTCCTGTCTTCCTCCTCAGCATCAGATGACCTGGTTAAGGAAATTCTACCTGACACCCTGAGTGATGTAGCGGGGATACAGGACCCCCACTACACGGAATGTGACACGAAATGGGGTGCCATGACAGACCCAGCACTCAGACCAGCCATGCCGAAAGCCAAGAAACAATCCAGTTGGGACAGCCCCATTGTAGACAAAGAAGCCACAGCTTTGCTGGAGGCAGCAACAACCCCCAGTGATCGTGCACGCCTCACAGCTGTGCAGGCTCCCCATGCAGGGGACTTCCTTCTGGCAGTCCCTATGTCTGCGACAGGCACACGTCTTGATCCGCAGGAGCTCCGTATTGCAGTCGCTCTCCGCCTTGCTGCCCCTATCCACACTGTTCACAGGTGTATTTGCGGCGAGGCAGATGCTGACGAATATGGATTGCATGGCCTGCACTGTGGAAAATCGGGTGGTAGGCACACTAGACACGACGAAGTCAACGACATCATTAAAAGAAGCCTTGCCTCTGCTCAGTGTCCAGCGGAGAGAGAGCCCCGCAACCTACTGAACCGTGACTCTGTTAGCTTTGCCGGCCGACCAGACGGAATCACACTGCGTCCGTGGAAGGGTGGCAGGCAGTTAGCATGGGACTATACTTGCGTATCCACCCTGGCAACGACATACATCACCCTCTCTGCCGGCACGGCAGGAGCCGCAGCGACACACAGAGAAAAACAAAAGTCAGTCAAGTACAGGCAATTAGATCAAAGGTACAATTTCGTTCCAATAGGGTCTGAGACCCTAGGCCCATGGGGTGAGAGTGCAAGAAGGTTTCTTAAGGATCTTGGTTCCAAGCTCATTGACACCACAAGAGACCCTAGAGCAGCAAGTTTTCTCTTTCAGCGCCTCAGTGTCGCGATCCAGAGGGGAAATGCCCGCTGCATCCTCGGTTCCTGCCCGGCGTCGGAGGAGTTCGAGGAAATCTACAGCCTCTAGGAAGCGAACTTTTTCTTGTGTCCTCTTAATGTTCATTTTTTGTATAAAATCAGATATGTAACTGTATAACCTTGCATAATAAAGTGTACATCATAATAAAAAAAAAGGGGGGTGGTAGGAGAAGTGAACACTCTTTCGTATTCAGAGTTAAATGTCAAGTTTTTCCCTGAGTGCTCTGTGTTCCCTTCTCTGAGGCTGTGGGTCCCTATAATTACACCAGTGGTGGTACCCCCCTATATATATATATATATATATATATATATATATATATATATATATATATATATATATATATATATATATATATATATATATATATATATAACACACACACACACACACACACAAACCTTCATGCTGGAGGAATGAAGATAGAGTAGACATGATAACAACATACAAGATACTTTGAAGTATGTATCAAGAAAGAAGACAGGTTTGAAATGGGCTGAACCAAGACCAAGGGCATAAACTGAGGGTGAACACCAAAATAAAGTAAGAAATCATCATTTTCAATGTCAGGGTAGTGTGAGAGTGGAAATCATTAGAGGAGGAAGTAGTTGAAACAAACTCAATGCAAAGTTTTAAATGTTAACGATAAAACCTTGGACAGTTAATGATAGAAAAGGAGATCCATGAACTGGAGCTTGATTCCCACAAACACAGTTTAGTGAGTACACTATTGAACTAACAGATGAGAAAAACTGACTTACAGTTCAAGAGAGGAAATGGGCCCCTAGAGGTGGACATCACACCAAACCTAGTGCCACAGGTTCAAATAAACCAGATAATGCCAGTGTCATTCAAGATACTAGTCCATACACCACACATCTGAAACCAATATACACATATTACCTGAAGTACCAATCTGGTTGAAACCACATCTGTTCAAGATCTTAAGAAATATCAAAAGGGTTCCAGAGATCTATTCAAACTTAGTACAGTACTGTACTGTACTTGAATTAACCTTATAGCTATAATAGGCAGAAGTAATTATCCCCCTCAAAAACAGTTTTTACTGCTAAAAGTTTTACCAATTACATCATGAAAATAAATTCAATATCCTGTAACAATTGTCCAGATATATGCCATCCACAACAGGAATTTGGACGCAATGGCTGCAGCTCCCTAGCAGCGAGAGAAGAAAATGTTATCCTACAGAGTAGATCCAATTCCTACACAATGTTCCTGTTCAAAACTCTGCGACCATTATAAATGTTGTAATGATTCATAGTAAAAGTGAAATTGACATTTATTTTGCTTATAAAAAATGTAATATAAAGAAAAAAAAATCACTGTAGGGGAAGCATTTTTTAAGTATTTTATGACTAAAATACACACTTGGAAAGCATGTACTGTAGCTCATTTCTTGTATTTATATAACAATATTTGATGATATATTTAATGATGATATATAATGATATTAATTTATATATTTAATGATATATTTAATAGGCCAGGGGAATGAGATACTGTACTGTACAAGGAAAGGAAAAGAAGAAAAAGATCTCTGAGTGATTACAAATTAGCTATGCAGCACAATGGCAACTTATATAATTACATTACAGTACAGTATACTGATAGAAAATGTTAATACAAATACAGTATTTGCAAACTTCACCAGACCAACAATGGAATATGTAACAGTGCAGTGAACCTCACCTGAATGAATGTATCAAGTTAGAAAGTGCCAAATGCATGATACCTAATACTTTTCCACTGTCAAGGACTCAATGCATGTTAGGCACATTGAGGTTCCCCCAGGCCCACAACTGACCTTTCTCTGAATGCAACACACATCAGATGCCTAACTCCTAGGTACATATTTACTGCTAGGTAAACAGAAGCATCAGGTGTAAGGAAACATGCTCAAACATTTCGCTCTGCCCAGGGACTGAAATTGGGGCCTTTCTGCTGTAAGCCAACTGGAACTTGGAAATCTATCAACCACATATATAAAATTATAATTAAAATTGAAATATAAAAATTAGCGTTGATGACTTAAAAAAAATGAAGATTTGAGAAGATGTATACAATACAGTATTTTAATGTACACCAAGGAATATTGAAGTATGGAAAACAGCACTCGATGGTAACATCACTCTTGCTAATAGTAGTGCCAAAGAAAACACATTTAAGTTGGCAAAATAAATTCTTTGCAACTAAATTATGGACGGTTGCAATACACTGCAGGATGAAGTGGTGTGTGCAAAAAAAAAAAAAAAAATATGTGTGAACATTTATGCAGATGGAACAGCATGAGCTTTAATCTTCATCATGTAGACCAGTTAAATAAGTAATTGCAAACAAACACTCATACATGCAAAAAATATATAATTTAAAGTATGACACTAATTCAAATTATACGTCAAATAATCATCAATAAAATACATGATATTTTGGTTTAAGGGTATGAATATAATCACAGAAAAAAATTAGCATACGTTTATTTAGCTTTATTGTCTCTCTCAAATATTGGGCCGGACACCCGTAATTCACTGCAACATTGTTCATGCATGACGCAATGCTTTCATACATATTCTGGGAAAAAAAAAAGAATGGGTAAAGAAATATGTGCTTCTAATTAAGCAATGAGATGAAATGTTTCCCAAGATGACAACTTCTTGAGAATGATTGGTATTGTCTACGTTAAGTCATTATTGTCCCAATTTTAGTATAAAATTATAGATATAAAGGTTCATTTTAAATTCTTTACCCACAAAAAGGAAAATGCATTTATATATAAAAGATTTGTTTTAATATGAAAAAATGTTGCAACTCTTTCACATAAAATTTAATATGAAATGTCCATGATTTTTCATGTGTTACGAGTCAAACTAATAATGAGATCCTTCAACAAGAAGAGTTTTTTTTTAAATAGTCAGTCTTGCACATCACAACATAAAAAATTACCTCACAGCTAGCCTGATATACAATTACAGTACTGTACTGTACATCATGTACAGTACAATACTTATGTCTTAAAGAAAAACATTAATACGTATCCTGCATTCATGAAATAAGTCATTTGAATATTCTCACCTCGGGAGGCTGTGACCCAAGTGAGAGAGAAGTTTGAAGTGTAATTAGCCATTCTGAGACTAAGTATAATATCAATAAAGCTACTTTTAATGTAAAAAATAAAAAATAACAAAAATAAAAATAATAGGAGAATAAGAATTACTACAGTGACATCTATGTCTCAAAATATATTTTGAAATCACTTCCAATCTTACAGTTCTGCATGCCACTCTCTGTAATTTTGATCTTCAGTTAAATTTATATTGGCTAACTTCCTTTGAATCATAAACATGAAAATGGCAATTATGGAAGTATTCACTAGCTACATTTCTGCTATAATCTCCAAGCACTTCAAGCCTTGCTGCTCCAATTCTTACCATGCAAAAGGCAAGAGGGCTTGAAGAAATTTGTGCTGGAAATTCACTGTGATGGGACGTTAAGATATAATAATGGATGGGTCGTTAAGCTTCATTCTTCTACCTGCAACTTAAAGAGAGAACATTTGCCTACTTAACAAATAAGTCTAAAGTGCAGATTACTAGAGGTACAGTACTGGAATAACGAGTCAAGACTAATTACTGACAAGATAAATGTAAAACATATCATAATAAACATTAAATTACAACAAGCAAATGTCAATAAATGCACACACAATAAATTGTCAATAATACCTGACTGATTTCAAACCTATTAAAAATTCATCAAAATATAATCTTGGAGGGCAAACAATATGTAAAATATGTTAATAAATCAAAATTCATAACTGCCTATTATCTAACGGAGATATTAACACACTAGACTATAGTGAAAATAAAAGAAACGACCTATAAAGATTCTTGTACTAGCTTTCATTATGAAGGTCAAACTACATGTATTCCTTTTACAGAGAAGCACCAATGTAGGGAAGTGCTCTCATTAGGGACATTTTCTCACTTTCATTATACATGCATTTAAAAAACTGGCATTGGTTTTTATTATAAATCTTACACATTAGGTATATCTTATTTGATAAAAAGGGGGATTGACATAGAAAATTCATGTACTGCACAAGTGGTGGGAAGAAACATGGCCATAAGATAAGCACTTCCCTAGAACATCCTTTTAGTTTTATAACAACTAAACCATAACTTTCATTATTATTCCAAATCTCGCACATATTTTGGGAGTGACTGTTATTGTAATTAATAATTAGTAAACTGAGAAATTATTCAATTTTTTGTTCAGTTAATGCCGAAGACTAGCTACATTATCTATCTATATCATATTACCAGCCTACACCATCTTCCCTATACTAATCATTTTGATGTTTTTTTTGTATACATGAATAAACCAAAAGAAAAAACCTGATTAGTTACAAATTAATGGAAAAAATAGAAAAGTACCAAAAGTCAATTCCATTCACTGACAGCTCCTATGATCAATACTTGATACTGAAATAAATGACAGTCACTGAATGAGCAATACACTTGTTGTTGTTTTAGATTTAGCTACTCTGAACGAAATGTCCATGTAGCACGGGCTATGGCGAGCCCGTAAGAGCAATACACATTGTACCCAAGATATAAAGTAACCTGTATACATACAACCAGCACTGAGACCAATGTCCGAGGAAAGATCTCATTCTAGCTCCAGCGCTCCCGGAAGCTGCATAACAATTCAGCTCGTTTTTTTTACGAATTGCCAGAGTTGCATCACAGTTATATGGGATGACAGATATCATCACACGAAGTCATCCTAATATAAATCCACTCCGAAAATACTGTTTTGTATCTTTGCCACTTGCAAAACTTCCACTAAATGTGATTAAAAAAGAGCACACACTTTAGACACAAACCAGAGGCATTGTCTCTCCCTTCACTAAAACCCAGGATGTTGGTGGAGCCACAAGCACACACACGACGCACACAAGTTATGTCTCTAGTTCCTTACAGAGTTGTTGCTCGTTCCAACAATTCATCAATAAATTTCTGCAAGCAAAAAAATTGTAATTTTTAATTTTCAAATCAATTGTAATTGATTTATCAGTTGATTTTATTAAACCAGTGGGTTTAGGTATTGTATGTACTAGCTCTATCTATAAATCAATCAGAATGTTTGTAACTGCATCTATGTATGTACTTTACCTAAATAAAATATTATTATTATTATATACCGTATTTATACTCACTTATATTTATATTCACTTATATTTATACTCGTATTTATACTTTATATAAATTTATTTATACTCACCTCGACTTTATCCTTAGATTGTTTGCAGTCAGCCAAGGAGTCCCATAAATACTTCTTACGCTTTAATTCACCATCAACGTCAAGTAGTTCATCAAGGTCAAGTTCCTTCTCCTCATTTTTACCCTCCTGTAAATATTTGTCAATGTTAAAATTCTGTCTAGTATGTGGAGAATAGTACACAATAACGTGCCTGAAACAATAACCCAACTTGGCTTCCTGTCTCTATCGAGGCCACTAGTGATGGTGACCCCCTAAGGTAAATTCGGGTAAGTATGTCTGGGTTGGGTTATGAAAGACTAAGGGAGATGAATCATAAGCTCTTACACTAGAAAAAGAAACGAGAAAGGTACAGTATGAGCATGACCTGCAAGATCCTTAGGTGGTGGAGTTGATTTAGGGGCGACCACGATCGTGGGATCGGATGCGCCCCGGTGTACCTGTGAAGGGTTAATCGCGAAGTCCGGAAAGGTGAAACGAACTGCACCTACTATCAAGAAGAGAAGAAGAAAGGTGAAACGTCAAGCCAAATTGCGAAACAAGTGACGTCACGCCCCTAAATCAACACAACAAGTGACGCCAATCACTGGAAACTAGTATGCCATGTGGCAAAGAAACGCAGACAGGTAGATGATTGGGGAGCCCCAGGAGTCCCCTAGGGTGACAAGCACCGGCCCCGCCCCACACAGAGAACACCAGGTAGCAAAACCAAAACTCGGCCCGCAACTAAAACGCAAAATTCATCCAGTGTCCTCCGGCAGAGCAGAAGCCAGCCGCCCACCACGTCTGAGGGCACACCAGGAGCCCACCAAGACCCGCCAACACCCGGCACCTTTCTGCCAATCCGGCGCCGGCCACCGTCACCCCGCCGGGAGAACCAGCCAGAAAACACGAAACAAAAACTCAGTCAACAATCCCGTGACCCAAGGCAATATGTGCGCCAGACATCGTACAAACCGGACCGTTGAATAGGGATGCCAAACGGCAGTATCATATCCAAAATCGCAAAACAGAACATGATCTGGCGGCTCCCAAGGCAGAGGAGGTGTCCAGACGTCCACTCGCCATCAAGGTTGAACCAGGAGACCCTTAGATGTATACACAACCTGTCCTCCTACAAAGAATGTCTCATTTCGCTCGTAGGCGTTACCTAAGGCCAAAAATTGTCGTACTAGAAAATGGAAGCGGCTCGCGAAAGAGACGTACTGTCCTGTTTTCTGTTTTGGGTCCTCTGGTAGGTTAGGAGAAGACAGTTTAAACTGACCGTTTTCTTGACGTTGGGAAACCCATGGAGGAACGGGCTGGTGTATACACAGAAGACAAGGATGAAATGTTAAGTATCAACAACATGGGTGCAAACTAGAGATTTACACTTCTTTAACCTAAAGGCAGTGACGAAATAAAACGAGGAAGATGAGGTAGTTGAAGATAACTTTAACCATTTAATTGTGTTTGAAGATTGATCAATCAGACGAGTCTGGAGCTACTGCATTACACGATTGACAGATGAAAGTGTTGCTGAAGAGCAGATGATCGACTCTGCAAGCTAAGCTACAAGAGTATAACGAGTACACACACTCACTCACTCATACTCTCTCTCACGCAATACTCCCACACGATCCCACCCTCTGTCTCGCACTCTCATTAACGCTCTCGCACACTTTTCCCTCAGCGTCATACTTTTACAGACATCCACCCACATCAGGATATTGCAGCTTTCAACACACTAACTTTTTATTTTGTTTATACAGTAAGCCAAAAGGTGCCACTGGCTAATTATTCCATTTGTCACCGGAGTGCGCGCTGTCTGGCTTCAATGTTTTCCATGTTTCATTACCGTCCGTAAAACTCTTTAAAACATATAATAGTTATTTCATTACCATAGCATTTTTGGGTGATTTCATTGTGCTGTAAATTGAATAAGCATAATGTTGTGTGTTGTGAGTTAGTACAATGGTGGGGGTGGCTCGCTGGTGGGGGTGGCTCGCTGGTGGGGGTGGCTCGCTGGTGGGGGTGGCTCGCTGGTGGGGGTGGCTCGCTGGTGGGGGTGGCTCGCTGGTGGGGGTGGCTCGCTGGTGGGGGTGGCTCGCTGGTGGGGGTGGCTCGCTGGTGGGGGTGGCTCGCTGGTGGGGTGCCAGCCTGGTGGAGGTGTCATGCTTCACACTATGTTACTAACAGCTGAACCCCCCCCCTCCCCTCCAAGCTATGCACCCCACCAAACCAACCACACACACACACACACACACACACACACACACACACACACACACATACACACAAGGGGGCCTGACGGCTGAGTGGACAACGCTCGGGATTCGTTGTTCCAGGGTCCGGGGATCGATCCCCGGCGGAAGCGGAAACAAATGGGCAGAGTTTATTTCACCCTGATGCCCCTGTTCGCCTAGCAATAAATAGGTACCTGGGAGTTAAACAGCTGCTACGGGCTGCTTCCTGGGAGTGTGCGTGTGTGGGGAAAAAAATCAGTTGAGAGGCCGGCCCAAAGAGCCAGAGCTCAACCCCCGCAAGCACAACTAGGCGAGTACACAGTGACACCACACGCATGGCACCAGCTCTATCTTTAAGTATGCATTAAAGGTCAATCACCTAGAAGGAAGAGTGTGATAAATGTCTCATAAGTTTGAGGTTCATTAGCCCGGGAGTGGGTCAAGAGGCGACCATCACATACACCACGTCCCTCGTGGACTGCTGCCAACCCTACTGCTGAGTGCTGCTCCGGACGTGGCGGGGGGCAGGCAGCAGGGAGGCAGGAAGGCAGCAGGAAGGCAGCAGAAAGGCAGCAGGCAGCAGAAAGGAGGAAGACGACAGGCAGGAGAGAGATGGAAGCATTTGGTGGATAATGTATTGGTTTTGTTGACGGGAAATTCGAGTTCTTTTCACAGAACGTCCTTTGCACAGGATGCGACCCACAACAGTCGACTAACAACCAACTACTTATATCCTGCTAGGTCAAGGGAGGCTGCGGATGTAAGGAGACATGACCAGCTGTATCGCCTTGCCTGCTCCATCACCTCCACCAGAGTGTGAGCGGGTAATGTAACAATTGAATACCAACTCGGTGGCTCCAAACTCCTTGCAAGTTTGCAATCTGAAGTCCGCCCCAAGGAGGCGGACTTCAGATTGTGTTACCTCAGAAGCTCATCGTGGTCGAGTGGGTATGTGTACCTGCGGTGACCCTGCACCCCGAGGTCGATTCTACACAACTGTCCCAGCTGTGTCTGGGTACAAGTGACAGGATGAACAACCCATCGGGTTTTCTTCCTATTGGGGAGTGTTGTACATGCTGTTATGGCGGTGTGTCCACTCACAGGATGAGTGGCGCTGCCCAATAAGCTCGCCCCTCGGGGCAAAATTTAAAGTTTAAAAATTAGTTCTAAAGATTTTCACAAAACTTATCTACAGACTTCATGGACTGGAGTGTTTGCTACCTTTATCCCTAACTATATATTGCCGAGATCATGAAATCAAATTAGCTTGCTACCTTGAATGTGTTCCTTTAGACTGTTGGGGCTTCCAGCTCGCAGTCCGATTAACACTACAACTTGGGTGAGCACGAATACAATGAACATGTAAAGTTTGTTCTTAAACACAGTGGATACGTCTGTTGGTAATTTCCTTTATAAGTGGCTACACAGGCTACCCAGTGGTGCCCGAGTCGATCCCGTGGCCAGGTTTCCCCCACACACACACCCGGCCTCCCCTTGTTCCAGTACACACCCTCCTACTGTTCCAGTACACAGCCTCCTACTGTTCCAGTACACACCCTCCTACTGTTCCAGTACACAGCCTCCTACTGTTCCAGTACACACCCTCCTACTGTTCCAGTACACAGCCTCCTACTGTTCCAGTACACAGCCTCCTACTGTTCCAGTACACACCCTCCTACTGTTCCAGTACACACCCTCCTACTGTTCCAGTACACAGCCTCCTACTGTTCCAGTACACACCCTCCTACTGTTCCAGTACACACCCTCCTACTGTTCCAGTACACACCCTCCTACTGTTCCAGTACACAGCCTCCTACTGTTCCAGTACACACCCTCACTACTGTTCCAGTACACACCCTCCTACTGTTCCAGTACACAGCCTCCTACTGTTCCAGTACACACCCTCCTACTGTTCCAGTACACACCCTCACTACTGTTCCAGTACACACCCTCCTACTGTTCCAGTACACAGCCTCCTACTGTTCCAGTACACACCCTCCTACTGTTCCAGTACACAGCCTCCTACTGTTCCAGTACACACCCTCCTACTGTTCCAGTACACACCCTCCTACTGTTCCAGTACACACCCTCCTACTGTTCCAGTACACAGCCTCACTACTGTTCCAGTACACAGCCTCCTACTGTTCCAGTACACACCCTCCTACTGTTCCAGTACACAGCCTCCTACTGTTCCAGTACACACCCTCCTACTGTTCCAGTACACAGCCTCACTACTGTTCCAGTACACAGCCTCCTACTGTTCCAGTACACACCCTCCTACTGTTCCAGTACACACCCTCCTACTGTTCCAGTACACAGCCTCCTACTGTTCCAGTACACACCCTCCTACTGTTCCAGTACACAGCCTCCTACTGTTCCAGTACACACCCTCCTACTGTTCCAGTACACACCCTCACTACTGTTCCAGTACACACCCTCCTACTGTTCCAGTACACAGCCTCCTACTGTTCCAGTACACACCCTCCTACTGTTCCAGTACACAGCCTCCTACTGTTCCAGTACACAGCCTCCTACTGTTCCAGTACACACCCTCCTACTGTTCCAGTACACAGCCTCACTACTGTTCCAGTACACAGCCTCCTACTGTTCCAGTACACACCCTCCTACTGTTCCAGTACACAGCCTCCTACTGTTCCAGTACACACCCTCCTACTGTTCCAGTACACACCCTCCTACTGTTCCAGTACACAGCCTCCTACTGTTCCAGTACACAGCCTCCTACTGTTCCAGTACACAGCCTCCTACTGTTCCAGTACACACCCTCCTACTGTTCCAGTACACACCCTCCTACTGTTCCAGTACACACCCTCACTACTGTTCCAGTACACAGCCTCACTACTGTTCCAGTACACAGCCTCCTACTGTTCCAGTACACACCCTCCTACTGTTCCAGTACACACCCTCACTACTGTTCCAGTACACAGCCTCACTACTGTTCCAGTACACAGCCTCCTACTGTTCCAGTACACACCCTCCTACTGTTCCAGTACACACCCTCACTACTGTTCCAGTACACAGCCTCACTACTGTTCCAGTACACACCCTCCTACTGTTCCAGTACACACCCTCCTACTGTTCCAGTACACACCCTCACTATTGTTCCAGTACACACCCTCCTACTGTTCCAGTACACACCCTCCTACTGTTCCAGTACACACCCTCACTACTGTTCCAGTACACAGCCTCCTACTGTTCCAGTACACACCCTCACTACTGTTCCAGTACACAGCCTCCTATTGTTCCAGTACACACCCTCACTACTTACCGGTCACAGGAGACACGACGATCGCAAAGTACTTTGTGATTAATTGGCCAATTAATGCACAACTATATTCTACCCACTTCAAGACTCCGAACCAATATAGAAGCATCAAGAGGAAGTATGGGCCAATAGGCCCTCTGCAGTTACTTCCATTCTTATGTTCTCATATCCAAGTAATACCCATTGTTTCGTGTTTTGTCTTGTGTTTGTCACAAGTTTCTTCACCTCACCCAAAACTGTTGTACCATATCACCTCACCCAAATGCGAGTATAACTCACGGGAGACATCTCCCGTCACGCAGGGTGCAGTCGCACCTCCACAGATCTCCAGTATCATCTATTGATACTGGTAATGGCTCAAAAGGGCCACCACTTACGGCTATTCATGCCCGTGCCACCTTGTGGATGGCTTAATCTTCATCAATCAATCAATCAATCGAGTATAACTATGGACGGATTTTGCGTGTTTAACACGCAAAATCCCAAAATCTTCCACAGCACTGTTCTTGTGCCAGGTAAGTCCACTTCGGGCTCACCATAGCCCGTGCTACTTGGAACTTGTTCCGAGTAGCTGAATCTATAAGAACAACAACAATGCGTGCTTACAGGTTACAGTTGTGTGTGTAAACTAAAGTCTTTGAAAATGTAATAAGTTATTACGAAACGCGTTCAGGCGTCGTGTTAGACTAGAAATAAAAATGAATTTTGGAAAATTGATTTTTCAATTACCACCGACAGTGAATAGAAACATAAGAAATATTGAGAAAATTCGTGTTAGAATTATTAATCTTACCTTTTCGGTTATGTGTGTGTAAATCGGTGTGTGTGTGTGTAAATCACGAAAAATAAACACGTGATTAAAAATGTGACAGTGTCAGACCACGGAGGAAAATTGAAACAGGAATTTCCTTCAGTACCTTCGTATATTAGTACGAAATCTTTCTGAAGATGTATTAATATACGAAAGTACTTAAGGAAATTCCTGTTTCCATTTTCCTCCGTGGTCTGACACTGTCGTACACAGAGGGAAGAGACCCCGAGACGTACCGGAGAAGGATAGAGTGTCTGTAACTGGTCAAACATCCACATCTCGACGCCTAGCCGCTTCCTGATGAGAGACATCTGGTGAGCGCCATATTTGGCCGTGAGGTATTTCTCCTTCCGTTCCTTCACTTCTCCTATTTGGGCGAACTCCACATGTAGGTTACCCCTAGGGGGGCCGCGCCCCCGGTCCGGAGACCCGCCCACGGGCCGCCCGGATGTGTAGGATGCCACGCCCACCTCCATGCCGCTCTGTCGAAAGAATAAAAGGAGTTAGTTGTCGGCTACAAGGGATTTACTGCGTGTAAATCTTTTATTAATGTGTTTCAAAGCAAATTTGACACTGAAGGAAAAATATATGCAGGCTATATTTGGTCTTAATTTTAATTGTAAATTATCAATGCGTTTTTGTTCCTGTGAATTAGTAGAAATAGGCTATCTGGTAAATGTATATAGATGATTCTCAAACAGGAATATTTTCACCGTTTTCTTTCTGAAAATATACACACATGACCCGAGCCGGCATTATAAATGTGTTGGCACAAATGATACAATGAAAATACGAACTTGCGTAATACGAAGCAAAGTTGGCCAACGAGACATAACGCGAGGCGATATGAGCACACGAGCCTTCCTTACTACGGGCTCACCATAGCCCGTGCTACTTGAAACTTTTTGTTCCAGGTAGCGAATCTTAAACAACAACGAGCCTTCATTATGACAGTGGTTAGTAAGTGGCGCTTCACCTCTTACCTTGTAGGTGATTCAACACTAACTGCCTCGTGTTACAACTTAATTGACTTTTATTCTAAGACCATATACAAGTTTATTCTATATTTGTGTTTGTAAGAAGCAGGTGTGAAGAACAGAATGTAGTCGACTTCAAGGTGTTCACTTGTAATGACGTTATTAGTGACGTCTAACAACGTTAGACGTCTTCCTGTAGTCCCAAGAGAAGATGGACTACAGGAAGCGAGACTCTTCACAGTCTTAGTCTTAAGACCAAGTAAGAACACCTGTCATATCTCCTTGTAGCACCCGGGGCCACACCAGAGATAAGAACAATTAAGAATATGCACCTGGGCAGTGTGGTGATGGGGGAAACCCATGATACCACCCTGTGTGTGTGTGTGTGTGTGTGTGTGTGTACTCACCTAGTTGTGTTTGCGGGGGTTGAGCTCTGGCTCTTTGGTCCCGCCTCTCAACCGTCAATCAACAGGTGTACAGATTCCTGAGCCTATCGGGCTCTATCATATCTACACTTGAAACTGTGTATGGAGTCAGCCTCCACCACATCTCTTCCTAATGCATTCCATTTATCCACCACTCTGACACTAAAAAAGTTCTTTCTAATATCTCTGTGGCTCATTTGGGCACTCAGTTTCCACCTGTGTCCCCCTTGTGCGTGTTCCCCTTGTGCGTGTTCCCCTTGTGTTAAATAGACTGTCTTTATCTACCCTATCAATTCCCTTCAGAATCTTGAATGTGGTGATCATGTCCCCCCTAACTCTTCTGTCTTCCAGCGAAGTGAGGTTTAATTCCCGTAGTCTCTCCTCGTAGCTCATACCTCTCAGCTCGGGTACTAGTCTGGTGGCAAACCTTTGAACCTTTTCCAGTTTAGTCTTATCCTTGACTAGATATGGACTCCATGCTGGGGCTGCATACTCCAGGATTGGCCTGACATATGTGGTATACAAAGTTCTGAATGATTCTTTACACAAGTTTCTGAATGCCGTTCAGAAAGTGTGTGTGTGTGTGTGTGTGTGTGTGTGTGTGTGTACTTACCTAATTGTACTTACCTAATTGTGCTTGCGGGGGTTGAGCTCTGGCTCTTTGGTCCCGCCTCTCAACCGTCAATCAACTGGTGTACAGATTCCTGAGCCTATTGGGCTCTATCATATCTACATTTGAAACTGTGAATGGAGTCAGCCTCCACCACATCACTTCCTAATGCATTCCATTTGCTAACTACTCTGACACTGAAAAAGTTCTTTCTAACGTCTCTGTGGCTCATTTGGGTACTCAGCTTCCACCTGTGTCCCCTTGTTCGCGTCCCACCAGTGTTGAAAAGTTCGTCCTTGTTTACCCGGTCGATACCCCTGAGGATTTTGTAGGTTGTGATCATGTCCCCCCTTACTCTTCTGTCTTCCAGTGTCGTGAGGTGCATTTCCCGCAGCCTTTCCTCATAACTCATGCCTCTTAGTTCTGGGACTAGTCTAGTAGCATACCTTTGGACTTTTTCCAGCTTCGTCTTGTGCTTGACAAGGTACGGGCTCCATGCTGGGGCCGCATACTCCAGGATTGGTCTTACATATGTGGTGTACAAGATTCTGAATGATTCCTTACACAGGTTCCTGAACGCCGTTCTGATGTTAGCCAGCCTCGCATATGCCGCAGACGTTATTCTCTTTATGTGGGCTTCAGGAGACAGGTTTGGTGTGATATCAACTCCTAGATCTTTCTCTCTGTCTGTTTCATTAAGTACTACATCTCCTATTCTGTATCCTGTGCCTGGCCTCCTGTTTCCACTGCCTAGTTTCATTACTTTGCATTTACTCGGGTTGAACTTCAACAGCCATTTGTTGGACCATTCACTCAGTCTATCCAGGTCATCTTGTAGCCTCCTACTATCATCCTCTGTTTCAATCCTCCTCATAATTTTTGCATCGTCGGCAAACATTGAGAGGAACGAATCTATACCCTCTGGGAGATCATTTACATATACCAGAAACAGTATAGGTCCAAGGACTGACCCCTGCGGGACTCCACTTGTGACGTCTCGCCAATCTGAGACCTCACCCCTCACACAGACTCGTTGTCTCCTGTTGCTTAGGTATTCCTCTATCCACCGGAGTACCTTCCCTCTCACTCCAGCCTGCATCTCCAACTTTCGCACTAGCCTCTTGTGGGGCACTGTATCAAAGGCTTTCTGACAATCCAAAAATATGCAGTCTGCCCACCCTTCTCTTTCTTGCCTTATTTTTGTTGCCTGGTCGTAGAATTCAAGTAACCCTGTGAGGCAGGACCTGCCATCCCTGAACCCATGTTGATGCTGTGTTACAAAGTTCCTTCGCTCCAGATGCTCCACTAGTTTTTTTTCGCACAATCTTCTCCATCAGCTTGCATGGTATGCAGGTTAGGGACACTGGCCTGTAGTTCAGTGCCTCCTGTCTATCCCCTTTCTTGTATATCGGGACTACGTTAGCTGCTTTCCAAGTATCTGGCAGTTCCCCTGTTGCCAGTGATTTGTTATACACTATGGAGAGTGGTAGGCTCAGTTCTCTTGCTCCTTCCTTTAGAACCCAAGGGGAGATTCCATCTGGGCCTATAGCCTTCGTCACGTCCAACTCTAGTAAACACTTCCTTACTTCCCCACTGGTAATCTCAAACTCTTCCAGTGGTTCCTGGTTAGCTATTCCCTCACTTACCTCTGGAATTTCTCCTTGTTCTAAGGTGAAGACCTCCTGGAATTTCTTATTCAATTCCTCACACACTTCCTTGTCATTTGTAGTGAATCCTTCCGCCCCTATCCTTAATCTCATAACCTGTTCCTTTACTGTTGTTTTTCTCCTAATGTGGCTATGCAACAATTAATGTGGCTATATGTGTGTGTGTGTGTGTGTGTGTGTGTGTGTGTGTGTGTGTGTGTGTGTGTGTGTGTGTGTATGTGTGTGTGTGTGTGTCTGCAGAATCTAGCTAATAGCTCTTGGACCCCGCCTTTCTAACCCATCTATTTTTTCTTCTATCATATCTACTACGTATATTTCTCTCTAACACACACACACACACACACACCCCAAATCTGATGCCAGAAGCCCCCATTAGCAGAATAACTACAGCTGCATATGTCATGCTGGCCAACGTCCGCATGTCCTTCGGAAACTTGGACAAAGGGGGCTTTCCGGGCCCTATATACAGCGAAGGTGAGACCCACTCATTCATACCTAGCATGGCAACCCTAGCTGAAAAAAAGAGAAACTAGAAAGGACCAAAGATATGCAACGAGACTCATTCCTGAGCTAAGAGGATTGAGCTATGAGGAAAACTGAGGGAACTTGACCTCACCACACTGGGGGAAAGGAGAGATAAGGTGAAGATAACGTATAATATTCTGAGGGGAAATGATTAAAATAGACAAAGCAGCATTATTCAATGTTAGGAACAGCAGAACGAGGGGTCTTAGGAAGAGACAGCAGACACAAATGGCTCACAGAGACATCAGAAAGAACTTTTCCGGTGTTAGAGCTTCCAATATAGGAGAGACGGAGAAGTCGCTGAAGTAATACGAATCAAAATTATAAATATGTATATGATAAAAGCGTGAGAAAGGAGTCACTGCATTAAACTAAGAACGTTTGGAAGGCGAGACTCAAGAGCCTAGCTCGACCCTGCAAGCACCTCTAGGCGAGTACAATCTCTACTTCCCTCTCCCTCTTACAGGAGGAGGAGAAGGAATACAAAGTGCCCGTTATCAACGAGGAAAAAGTCAACTCCGGTTGGCTGTTAGGTTATTAGGCTGTTAGCGTCTATCGTTCCAGCTCCTCAAGCGCTCATGAAGAATGATGTTGAAAGCTAATGTTCCAGAACAAAGCCCCCAAAATCTGGTTCAGGATTCATCAAGCATTCATGCAACCACTTAAGAAACCTGTACATCTTTCCTCAATCATGGCGGCTTTGTTTACGTTTATTAAATAGTCTATGAGCTCCGAAACGCTACACGGTTGTTCATAACAATAATAACCTTGGGTTGTGAAGATTGGAAGCTCGTAAACTGTTTAACAAATGTAAACAAATCATTTTAAGGGAAGATGTACAGGTTTCGTAAGAGGCTATGTAACTCCTGGCCTAAAGTTACATTCCTCTCTAAAATTTATTTATTTATTTATTTATTTATTAGGGGGGTACCACCACTGGTGTAATTATAGGGACCCACAGCCTCAGAGAAGGGAACACAGAGCACTCAGGGAAAAACTTGACATTTAACTCTGAATACGAAAGAGTGTTCACTTCTCCTACCACCCCCTTTTTTTTTTTTATTATGATGTACACTTTATTATGCAAGGTTATACAGTTACATATCTGATTTTATACAAAAAATGAACATTAAGAGGACACAAGAAAAAGTTCGCTTCCTAGAGGCTGTAGATTTCCTCGAACTCCTCCGACGCCGGGCAGGAACCGAGGATGCAGCGGGCATTTCCCCTCTGGATCGCGACACTGAGGCGCTGAAAGAGAAAACTTGCTGCTCTAGG